TTCTTTTTTTAAATAAATTCTCCCTCGAGTCATGAGTTAAAATTCCAACATAAATGATATTACAATATATAAAAAATGTATACTATTTGATAAGTCAGATTTGCACAAAACATATACAAGGTTTGGAAAGGGCAAGATGAATGACTATTCCGACCCATATTCACATAGATTTTACTACTTGTGTTTGTCCATATTCAAGTTGAAAAGCAAAGAGGAGGACACCATGAATTGAAGAGAGAGTGAGAAATGAGTTGAAGAGAGATGGATTTGTAATCGAAGGAGGCAGGACGCCGCCTAGTGGAGACCCACCAACATGATGGTTAGTGGCAACAACTCCATTCTTATTTGTTACCACAATTAACCTACCAACCTACCCCTCCTTCTCCTCTAACTAGGCATGCAAAAGCCAAGATTTTGGAGCTTATTAGGCTCTACATCAATATCACCTTCTTGCATTCTCTTCATATCTTACATGAAAAATATTTACATAACTCATAAATCTCACGTTATTTAGGAATTAAAATTAAAAATAATTTATATATAAATATATTTTTATGTCTTAATTTATTAAGATATTTTTTAAGAATAAAATTATCTCATACTATTATTTTAAAATAAAGAATAAAATACAATCATTCATTATATATATATATATATATATATACAAGTTCTATACGCAGTGTGAGTGACAGAGATAATGCAGAATAGGGTAAGAGGTATTACGACTGTTACAGTTGACCCTTTAAACCAGAAATTTCTTCCTAACTCCCTTACCTAGTGGTTAATTTGGCCCTACGTTTAGGTTTAGGTCTTCTATTTGAGGTTGATGTATTATAGATTTGCTTCTATGCAGGGTCTCATAAAGAAATTAACCACATTCAGACCCTCATTATTGGGGAAAGATAGGGACAAATGCCTCACTAAAAAAAAATAATAATAGTCCTAATTAGATCTTCAGTGTTCAATTCATGCATGTGTACCATATCCACCACTCATATATCAATATATTGTAGCTACATTATACGACCTTATAATTAAATACTAAATTAGAAACTATAAAAAATCTTGCTTGGTGAGAAAAAATTATATTAGAATGAACAATAAAATCATAATTTAATCAACTTTGATCTTCTTAAATAAATTTTATAAAACTAGTAGGTTAGTCTAAATGAAATTCTGTTCAAATTAAAAATCTTGCTGAAGATACTCAATCAAAATTTTAAATATATATTAATCATCAATAAACTAAGTGAAATTTATAAAGAAGATACAAGAATTTAGTTAAATTCATCATTTAATCTAACAAGAGAATTGTGGTTTGGGTTGAATTGAGTTTTTACATTTTGATTTGTTAGATATGATTTAAGCCAATCATTTTTAATGTGGTGTTCCTAAATCCAATTAACACCTGTTACGATTTATAGTAAGCATGAAATAATGAAATGAAGAAGAAAATGATAAAGCATTGGCAGAAGGGTGTGGTTATTAGGTGGGTTAATGGAGAGGACAAAAGCCAATTTTTTCGGTACCTAAAAGGAAAATTATCCACTAACACATGCCATCAATAAATAGATACTCAAAGTGGGTAGGGCCGAATCCAACCACTAACCACTGTACATTCATGCCTTCACTTTAAGTTTAAGATTCTAACCCTTTTTTTTTATTTCCAAATTTTTCATCCATAATATATACTTAGTTATGTCATTTACAGCCATGGAAGAGGCCAGAATAATCGATGAAATTGCTTCTGCAAGGTGAAGAACCTTTGAATCTCATATTTATATGAAATTTTATTTCTATTAATTTAGATATCGTTTTAGTGTAATAATTTAGATACAAATAAATGAAGTTTTTTTTTAAGTACACAAACTAATAATATCAATTTGAAATTTCAAGAAAGAAAAGTTCAATTTTGAGTAGTTAAAAATATATTCAAACCTAAATTTCATAGTAAAAATCAAATGCATAAATTACTTAAATTTTAACTAAATTTGTAAATATAAATTTTAGCTATTTATACATGGTTGAATGATTAAAATTATTTTAAATTTAATATAAAAAATGACATTTTTATTTATAAAACATCAATACACAATGTCCAAGACTTGTTGAATAGCTTATACAAGCATCTCATGGTTTGATAGTTGGGTGGGATTCTCTTATATATTACCTAACTATATACAATGTTACCCAAAATTCAATCTTTTTCCATGTATTACATATAAGCATTACTTTCAAATTATAAATTTACAAATGGTGATGGTGTCCTCAATTCTCAAAAGGACTTAGGTATTATATTAGTGTCATATGTGTTTCATTATATGTTAGCTTAGTTTGATGGAAAAAAAGGGTTATACAAAGTTCATGGAAGCACCTAAAAAATGGTGAAATTAAACATCCCAAATGGTCACTGAATGGGACAAACAAAAAGGAACAAAAGAAATGGGAGGAAGAAAGGTTAAGGGCATCTTCTTATTATATATGCTATTCTGAAAGGGTGGCCTCAAACATCTCCATCAAAATTTTACATGAGACAGAAGGGGATGGATATGTGAGTATCAAAAGTGATTTTCCATCCAATAGATCATAGAATTTGCACATGATATTGTCGGTTTGATGTCAATGGTTTCATTTCATTTTCATGATGGTTGAATGCTAAGAATTAATTAATATCCATGCCTCTTCCATCCTCATCTATTAAGAACTAAAAAAATTGAATCTTTATGGTTGATTCATAATACCTTATTGTCCCAAGAAATTTCAAGGCACCTTCAATATGTAATAATAATCCTTTTTGTTTATTGGTTGCTCCATAAGCTCTACTACACATTGGACCAAATATATAGCAAATACACACATTTCATGTAAACTTGACAAGAAATATCCTAATCATGGGGGTTTGCATGTTGAATGAAACTTTTGTTGAATATGTTCACTTAATTATACGTGGGAAGGGGCCATGATGAACAGTTGAGATGTCAACTTAATAATGATATTGAAATTTGTTTGATTTTGATTGCAACAATGCCTTGCTGTACTTGCACACAAACGGGTCAACCATCATAACTTTGAAGTATTCAACTTTGTTATGTTTGTAAGACATCGAATTCAAATATTATAACATTATTTTCCAGACTCGTTTTAAAAGTGAAGATAAATGCATGGAATCGATGCTCATATCTTGGAAAGTGTATAATTGGGGTCCTACGGTTCCGTAATAATGTTACTAATAAAATGTCAATTTGTGGATGAGTTTGGTGGCCCTGGGATCTCTCCAAAGAGAAGAAAAACAGTGTTTATTATTTGGGATAAGTACAATTTCTTTCAGATTCTAATTGAGTATGCTTCTATTATTATAGTTCAATTATTTTTAAAAGAAAGGAGTTAGTTCTTGTTCCCTTCCTAAAAAAAAACAATACTTGTTATTCTTCAATCATCTATCTTAATTATTTGTTGTTGGAATCATATTTGTAAGTTCTTAAATGTTTGCATTTTTGTTTCAAAAGGTTTAATATATATTATGTAATGTTTTATTAAGGAGTACCTTAAAGGTACCAGTTAAAACACATTTAGTATCACTTATAAAAAAGAAAATTTTGTTGTGTATTTATATATATATTCAAATTTTTTTTATTAACTTTCCCCATTTTATTTCCTGAATAAGTGACTGTACTTAGTCTTTCCCAGAAAGAGGAATATTTAGTACGAACAAATATAACTAGAAGCTTGGATAAATGTGTTTGTTTAATTGTAGTGAACAAAATTTGTTCTATTTTATGACCATTTTGTTGGATCCACAATGACAATGTTGCAGCAACACCATACAACATTTCGTACTGATGTAGGCTCTCCCTGAAAATTGTACCGTGTCTGAAGCTTGGAAAGGGATAATTTTCCTCTCTCCTTCAATTTCTATGTGGCAAAAAAAAGAAAAGAAATAGCAAACTGGAAATTCCTAGGTTTTTTAATATAAAAGGAGATTATTACACTTTTCTTATAATGATTGAGCAATAACAGATCTAATAGAGAATAAATCCTACCTTTTGTGTTGGCTATATTATTTGTATCAACTAAATCCAACAATTAATATACATAATTATTATTTACAAAAATTAGCATGGATGTTTACAGCATATAAGCATTTATTTAAAAGAATAATGTATTTTCTTGATTTAGTCTACATAAAAATTTGAAACAATATTACATGAAACATTTGGTGGTGAAAACAATATTGGAAAAGGGCCGAAGATCAACAAATATGCAACGAAGGAGAAGGGAACATAGAACAAAATAAAATAAGGGGGGACATGCAACATTTAACGAAAATGGACCATGAAAGGGGTCCGATCAAGATCTCTGAGTAATACGTATAAATTTTATTTTGTTGTTTTATTCAATTGTCGTGGATTTTATCTTTTCTTGGTACTGAATAATACCTTAACCATAATATCTGATTATGAACAAAGAATGAGTACTGTCATTACATTATTCATTGGTTGTACTAACTTACTTATATCCATGGTTTATTATCTATCAGTTTTAAGCCTAATCCTTCAAAAACCTAAATGCATTGATTGTAAATAAATTAAATAGAAATTATGGACGGTAATACAGCCAAAGTTGAATTAGAATAATTTTAGATACAATAGTCGTGCTACACTCCCAACGGGTAAGCAAACACAGGCATGCAGTCACAAATTCAAAATATTTTCCGTCTAACAAAAATACTTTTTAAAAATATTTAGATTCCACCATTGCTCTACTCTTTACAAATTCTACCTCCAATCAAAGCCATCTTTCATCAAGGACACGTGACTATAGCGTCAACTTAAAAGCCCAAGGTAAACTTTTGTTCTTCGTTGCCAATAGATGGTAGTTTTAAGGTAAAAATGATGACAGCCCTACATGTTCTAAAACTACAGACATAACACAGCTATAGAGAATATCGTTTCGAAAACCATATATAATGTCTTTTATGAAAGCACAACCAAACATGCCCATTAAGTAGATTCCAAATCCAGCACTTTCACGGCGTCATTGGCATCGGTGTCTTGATATAATTGTATATTAAACACTGAAATCTTCATTAAAACACACCACCATAACATTAATTAAAGTAGCAGAAATACCGGTCATATTTTAAGCACAACATGTGTCAAGTACCAATAAAAGAAAACAAACATAGGTCTTGTTTTGAAAGATAGATGGATTATAACGCATGAAAGGTATGGTCCTAGACTCCAGCACTCGTGGTGCCGTATATGCTGGGCATCCTTCAAAACACTGCGTACAGTGAAGCATTTGGATTCTCACCTACAAAACCATTATTCAACTCAACACGTTAAATGAATATACTATCAGAGCAGATAGACAGCCCTATGCAATGACAAAGCTAGTACACAGCCTAAATGAGAAGAAAAAGACATGCACACAGACTTTTATCCAAAGGACTGGGTAGTGCATCTCAGAATCAAGTAGTAAAACCCAGCCATAACAGAAGACAGATAGTCAATGCAAATATGCCTTGTGCTGTGAAATGGAAATGTAGCATGGAGCATGGATGAGAAGAATACTAGTCAAACTAAGATATTATTAGCTAATCATTATTAACACTCAAATGGTCGTTCACTACTTTGATCATATACATAGATAAACAAAAAGACATCACCATCATGGCTTGTAGAAATCAAGACCAGCAAAAAAAAATGTCAGTAGAAAATTTCAAGGAAAAGCACTAAAAAAAATACGCTTGCCCCCTTTTCATTATGGAAACAACTATTATTGACAATAAAACCAATATAATAGAAAATAATTATATTCAACAAAACAGGAACTGTATTTGCATTAAATCATCGTGTTGAAGTGAAGAAGGTAAAATTAAAAAATGCACCTTAAGGCAGAATAACTTGGAAAGTGTGATCTTCAAAATCAAAACTTTGGAGAGCTTCATAGAGAGACAAGCTCAACAAAGAGTACAATGCAAAGGAACTTTCAATTTATTTGAAATCTTGTACCACAAAAAGAATACACCCCAATAAGGAAAACTATAGTATAAGATTGCAATCTAAGTTAAGATATATAATTCACGAGTCAGACACCAGTAACAAGGGCACAAAATATGTTTCCAAATTCAAAAGCCAAAGGATAATATAAGATTAAAATTTCTATCTCCAGTATTTAAATACAAAATTCCTTCATTGAATAATCCAAATAAAATATGTATCTTTACACAAAGTAAGCAAGATACGATGATATTGGCATCAATTATGGTTATGTCTAATTATGAAGAAACAGTCAGTCATTTCTTAAACCAGTAATTAAGTTCCTCGGACATTGGATCTATACTCAAGAATAGTGTATTAACATAGAATGTAAATTCGATGGTAACCAGTGTCAGAGCTTTGAAGGCGGGTGAACAGCTCAACAGCTACATTCTATTTTTCAGCAGTTTAAAACTAAATATCCAAAGCAATAAAAGATTCCTGATTGTATTTCATTGACTAGTACTGACCTTGGTTGATTTCAGGCAGTGTTTCTCTGAGGAATATATTTTTGTTCTTGCTTTTCTGGGGGCAAGTAGTAGTGAGCAGGGGAGCTAAAAGACAAAAAGCCAGCATTGTTTAGAGAAATTCTTATGAGCACATTAAGTAAAATAATAACAATAGACTAAATGTAAGAGGATATGAAAAATTTTCACCAGGTGTTGCCAGAAGCTTTGCAGCAATTTGTGGCGCCAGTGTGTGCAAGATAAGAGAACAATAAAGTAGCTCATCAGATAGAAGCACTTTGGACCCAAAGCATCTGGAAATACAACATTGAAACAAGAATTATAGAAACTTGCTTTATTTTCAACAAAGCAATAGTCTAATCTAAAACCCATTCCAAAAATGCTGCAGAAGAAGGGTGATAAAATTATACCTTGATTCACAATCAAACATTCCAAGCAACACCACAGACAGATATGGAGGAGGAGGCGCAGCAAGTGCAACAACTCCCAAAACTGGTGCAGGCATTATGGCTCCCCTTTCCTGCACCAGCAGTAGGAAGTATTTCATTGATTGCTATTCAGAATCGTATGCGCCTCCATCATCTGAGAAATCATCAAATGTTCGCATATCAAGCTGGTATCGCAAGATCCCACCTATCCCACCAAAACCTCTGCAAAACTGTGAACCTTCTTGTGATTTATTGGTGACAAACTCGAGAGTGCAACCAAACCGTTTGTATTCATTTGCAAACCACTCCAGTAGAGACAATTTCTCCTGAACCTCATAATCAGCAGAGGTCTCTGGATCGCGGAAATTGCTTTGGTTGGCATCCTGTTCCTTGTTATAGTGCTTAATGACAATCTCACCAGTACCACTATTTTTCAAGGTATACCTGTTCATATCAAGATTTTCCCAAACAATAAGTGTCTCAACAGCTCCCATCTCCAACGCTTTCAGAGTATCTTCAACACCAAAAACATACTTTCCAGTATCCTGGCTAATTTCCTCAAAGTATTTCCCAATCAATCGTTTCTCCTGGATAAACTTCACATTGGAAAGAATTTCAGCAGACAACTCAATAGCCTGATTAAAACCATTTTCTCCTCCATAGGAAACATCAACAACATTAAGTATTTTTGCCTGTAATCGAGGATCAAACATGTCAGACTGACTAAGCTCAGTTTTGAAATCAGCTGAACCAGCCAGTATTAATCCAGAAACATTGGGTTGACTGGTGGCAGGATTGATATAGAACTGGGTAGCAAGCTCTGCCGTCTTTCTGACATAATTATGACGCTTCTCCATTCGAAGACGAGCAAAACGCAGGGCTGATTGCCCTCCTCTTCCATGTTTCTTTGGGAGATCCACACTGAATTTATGAAGCACCTCTCTTGTATTTCCACTCAAGGTCCCAAATAAAGTACCATTACCATCCATGACAATAAATCCAAACTTGTCATCCGACTCAAGGAGCTCATTCAAAGCTTCAGTGTGAAACTTATTGTCACACAGATAAAGGGATGCGTTGATAGGTCTGAAAGGCTCAAAGTCAATAGTGACCTTCTTCTCTTTCCCGTCCTCAGTCACAATTGTGCCAGTATACAGAACAAGCCCATTTGGAGGAACCTTATTATAGAGCTTAAGCCTCTGCTGAGCAGAAGTGATTGCACCTAGCACTGACTGTCGGTTCACCCTACTTTTAATGTTTGAAGCAGTTCCAAACTCATCACCAAGCATCTTAGTGACACGAGATATTTGATCACGTGGGGGCATGATGAGGGAAATCATACTTGTGCCATTTCCTCTAGCAGCTTCAAGAGCTTTGATCAATTTCTTGATTTTCCACACCTCAATGTTCTTATCAGTCTCATGACCATCAGCCATCTTCAAACAATAATACACCAAAAACCTTGAAAGAAACAAGAGTATACAACAGATAAGTCACATTCATTTCTATAGAGATAAAGCACCAAAACATAACTCCAGTGCTTGGTAACTAGGCATAAAGATGAATATACCAGTACCAAGGAGAAATACAAACAAACCAAATAGGAATACTTAAGTAAAAAAAGGATACACCAAGACATCAAACCATCCCCCGCATATCATACCTCACCTTCATTCCTTCGCAAACTAGAGAAAGAAACACAATACTCCAATCGGGCAAGCAACAAAAGGAATTAAAATTCAATTTATTTAATTTGACACACAGTTTAGCAGAAAGATATTCATAGAATCATATAATATTAACATTCACACAGGATTTTATAAGCACTTTCAACTCCCATAGAATTCCAGAATCCCCCAAATAAATCGCTACTTTACCCATAATTTGCAGCAGAAACAAATAAAAACACAAGATGTGAGATACGGACATATTTAAATCATAATAAAATAATATTATAATTAAAATAATAATAACTGTTTTCTCACTTTGCTCCATGCTTGCCTTCTCCCTCGTGCCAATTTGCAAATAAAAAATTCACACCAAAAAAAAACTACGACAAAGACGCTGATTATAAAATAGAACGAACCACAAACGCAGATGCAATGCGCAATAACACATAATAACACTAACACACATACACGCACGTACGCGCCTCTAAAGCATCACAAATTAGAGCATATCATATCCCATTAACAGCAGTATATGTCCATCAAATCGATCAACCCAGACAAAAGAACCATATAATAATAACAGCCATGATAAAGTTTGCCAACAGCGCGAAAAACCATAAGCGAGCGAAACATTAAAAAAGGTATAAAAATCGAAATATATAAGATAAACGACCGATCGAGAGTTGTATAATGGAAATAGCGGAATCGGATATTGGAATTGGCGAAGAAATTAACCTTTTAGGCGGCGGCGGCGGCGGCGAGGGAGAGAAGAGGCCGCAGAGAAAGAAGCGTGCCCTAGCTGAACTATGGAATGCTTGGATTGTCCGTAGAAAGAGTGTGCGTTTGGGGTTTTGAAGCGCCAGAAACGGTGTCGTTGGCCGATACTTTTGAGAGTGGAATTACTGTTTAGTCCTTACCTTCTCAACTTTTCATCCATTCAATTCAATTCAATTCAATTGATTAATTAATACTTTCTTCTAGTGTGCCGTGCTTGATATTTTTGGAAGGAATTTAATTTTTTATTATAATTATAAATATTAATTTACATTTTTATCAAGTTTTTAGTATAAAAAATATATAGCATTTATATTGGTAAGATGTGTAATATAAGTTATAGTTGCTTTAACTTTAACTATTTATTTCGTATTTGTGTGTAATTTAAAGTTTTAATCTCTTTATTAAAATTTGCAAGCTTATTGAATTTAAAGTTTGATTCATGTGATTGATATTTTAGATCATTATTTGTAATTAATTTGTCCGCAAAGATTATATAATTTAAAAAAAAATTGTATAGATATTTCATAAAAAACAAAATTTTTAATTTCAGTGTCACAGATTTTTTTTATACCAAAAAGTTGTAACAATTTTATTTTAATAAAAAGAAAACATATAAAAGAATAAATTATTAAACAACAAAATGATATAAAAACAACGAAATTTATTATTATATTATTTATTTGACTCAGTAAAAGATATTTGTTAAAAATTAATTAAAGATTAATTTATTATGTTTTTTGTAAAAAAAAAATTGGTGTGCTTTGTATACTTTCTTCTACTGACGATTATTTGAACAAAATTTAAAATATGAAATTACTTCCAATTTTTATTCTTAAACAAATAGTGTATTATTCTTAAAATAAACGTAAGTTTTATTGAAAATTAATCTGATCTTGGTCATATCTGAATATTACGAGACTTAAGGTAGATTTTGAAATTAAATATTTACTTAAAAGAATGACTTGATTTTTGTCAATAATTATATATCAAAGTTTTATAATTAAGTATTTATATATTTCATTCATAATTTCAAAGAAAAATTTGTTCAATTTTTTTTTCATAGATGATCTTAGGTAAGATTTGAATAGTCAATAGTTTTATTCTTCCCTCAACTATCTTAAGAAAATATAACTTTTTTTACGTGGAAAATTTAAAATAGAAGCTTACTTAAAGAAAATATTGTTTTATTTTTACAAGTATTTTCAATAACTTTTAAAAAAATTATCAATTTTTAGTAATGGAGAAAAATAAACTACTTTTCTCGAGTTAAAAAAGCCGGCACCGGAGTAATTTTGGAACTCGGGCGGGTGGACTCACCTTCGAGCCAAGTCAGCAGAAACTCTTTTCCCACTCACCAATAGACAAATCGAATCAAAAAATTACCTCATCGTCTACTCCTGCTAGAGACAGATCTCAGATTCTGTACGCTAACGTAGAGAGAGAAAGAGAGAGAAGAGATGGCAAATACGACGTCGTCTTCAAGCAAAGAAGCGCTGGAGATGAAGAAGAAGGAGTGTTTGGGTTGGATAGAGTGGTTAAGAGGGTGGTTCTATTTGATCTACGAAATGCTCTTTCAGCGCATCATGGCCAGCCACTTGCACAACCCCATGCCCCTCCCTCCCATCAACGACCTCACTTGCATTGTCACAGGCTCCACCAGCGGCATTGGTCTCGAAATCGCAAGGTTCACTTCCCTTTAAATTCAATTGATGTTTTTAAATGATTGGGTTTTGTTTTTGAGCGTAAAAAAATCAAGCTTTGGAATTTGGGTGAACTGGGGTTATCTGGGGTGGGTATTGTTGCGTAATCAGTGGTGAAGGGGTGGTTTTGGGAAGTGGGTCTGTGATGGTTTTGTGGCTGTGGTTGTAAAGTAGGGACATTTGTGGTTGGTTTTGGAAAAAGTTTATAAATGATGTTCGCCATTTTGGTTGCTGTGTGAAGTGAACCTGAGCCTTGTTTACGGGGTAGGTAGTTAGGTAGGCCCATGTGGGCTAGCTTATAGTAGTTTTATATGAGGTTTTCAATTGTTTCTTCGGGAGCATCTCCAACACTTGTTGTAAGGTACTAAAGTCTTAGAACTAGTTGATCATTTGGAGGAGATGTTGAAGTTGATACAGATAAAGACCAAAAACTAAAAAAAATAATAATCGTAACTTGCTGACATATTATGAGACAAGTACTCGAATGATTCATAGTTGTAGTAGAAAGATCTTAAATCTGATGAAACATGTAAGACCTGCCAAAAGTGAGTTAAGAACCTTATTTGCTTGTAGAGAAGTTAGATGACAAAACTACACTGATTTTAATTTATGTGTAAAGTTTGATATTCAATTATTTTCTTTTTGTAAGTACTTGTTGAGAAGTTTATCAAAGTGCCTCGCAGGTAAAGTTATGTGGGTTTGTGTATCTTGGTTTAAATTCTAGATTGGACATTATGAAGTGTGAGCTTTTAAGTTTGGAACAAATGGAGATGATGCATTTATTTAGTTGTTCTTCGCATCGTGCAGGCAATTGGCACAGTCAGGTGCCCATGTTGTTATGGCCGTGAGGAACACAAAGGCAGCTCAGGAGTTGATTAAGAAGTGGCAGATTGACTCGTCAGGATTGAGTATTCCTCTTAATGTTGAGGTAACTTGTATATCCAATTATAGTGTGAGGAACATTAAATTGGCACTCTTGGAGCATGCTTTGTTAAATCATCTATGATGAGTATGATCCATGGAACTTCTTTTTGTGTTTAACTGTGTTCGGATTAACTTATTTTGGTACAAGCTTTTTACATGATGGTCTGGACAGAGATTTTGATTAAATATTTGTTTTAAATGCCAAATAAGCTTAATTCAACAATTTGTTTCGGGATTTCTTCTGGTAATTGACATTTCCTTTATGAAGGTGATGCAAGTTGATCTTCTCTCATTGGACTCTGTTGTGAGGTTTGCTGAAGCATGGAATGCACGCTCAGCACCCTTGCATGTTCTCATCAATAATGCTGGAATTTTTTCCATTGGAGGTTGGTATTTTTTATCAATCAAAGCTGTTCCTGTATTTTGTCCTTTATGTTGTTAATCATTCTGAACCTGAAACAGCACCAAGTACTGGCTCTATCCTTTTATGGCTGAAGGACTTTCCAGTAGTTTTTTGGATCAGCTGTTGATTTATACTTATCCTTTTCTTTTTCATCATTTAATGTGACAAAATTATCAGAATTAACAATAATAACTTGCATTGATCTCATTGATCACAAATTTAACTAATCGACTCATTGGTTTTGTTCTTATTCAGAGCCACAAAAATTTTCCAAAGACAGTTATGAACAGCACTTGCAAGTGAATCATCTGGCTCCTGCCTTGCTTTCCATACTTCTTTTGCCATCCCTTATCAGGGGTTCTCCTAGTCGCATTGTTAATGTGAATTCCGTAGTAAGTCTCTTGCTATTTCAATATTATTATATTATATGTCATAGCAAATAGAGTTTAACCTAAGTTGTTATCAATGGCAGATGGTGGGAGGCCAAAATTCTGCCATATAAAGTCATCATTGTGGCTTATGGTACTGCCATAATGGGCCTCCCTTCAAAAATTGCCTATTACAGTTGGCAAAAAATTTCCCACACCATTATGCCATGGCATTGCCATTTAACAACACAACTTGATTCATCAAAATCAAAGTTCAATCTCATGTATTCTTTCATATTATGGCCTTTGATATATGTACTATACTAATCTTTATGAAAACTTCTTTTTGTTTTTGACTAATTCAACATTTATTACTTGTTGGTATTTTATGCTTGATCTTCTTAAAATATAGTTAATAATGTAAGGCTATTCAGTTTTAATTGATGAGGAATTGAGGATTAATGCTTCCTAGAATTCACATTTAATAGTAAATTACTTGTTATGAAAGGCTAATTAGGCTGGAATACATCTTCTTTCTTCTGTTTTGGTGCATTTTTTGGCATTGTGAATCCTGGTAGGTATGTGTTCTCTCACTGTTTTCTAGCATAATGTGGTTTACAGTAAAAATACGAGAACCTTATAACACTACAATATGTACTGTCCTTTAATGCTTTGGGTTACTTTGTTTTCTTTTACTTTTTCAGTAAATTAATGCACAAGTTAAAAACTTCATCTGGTGTTTATCAGCTTTTGTTTGACATTTTAATTAGCTTAAGACAACAATGTCATTATACTCTTGCTCAAATGTATCTTGCTATGCAATGCATAACCGTCAAAAGTTGTTTCTGTGATTTCCCTTTATCTGTGTGTGATTTTTGCTTGATGAAATAATTTTGTACAAAAATTCAAAATAACTTAAGTCATTTATTTGAACTAATGAAGATAGAAAAGGACATGAAACCGGCTTATCAAATTGTTGATAATCCATTAATCGGTGTATTCCAAAGAATTAAAAAAATGGATGCTTAATAAAAAGGAAGCATGTCAAATAAGTAATGAGTGCACAAACAAAGGCCGTAGATTGATGTTTGGCAGGTATTTAACATTCTCTGCAATGTAAATATTTTTCTGTTTAACTTTTCTATGATTTTTTAACTGTTGAATGTTGATCACTTTTCTGTCATCGTCGTGGTGAAGTAATTCCTAGAAAATAAAATGTCTTTTATCATGATAAACTTTAATTATTTACTTTTTATTCTTTCATGCACTTTGACCCTAAGAAAATCTCAAAGTGTTTTCTTTTCTTTTCCCCTCTTTTTCTGTAGATGCATCATGTTGGCTTTGTTGACACCGAAGACATGAATGTCACATCTGGAAAAAGGAGATTTTCTAGTTTGGTAGGGTACTCAAGCAGCAAGTTGGCAGAGGTACACTTGGTGTAAATGTTTTTGACAATTTGATGGCTTGCAATTTATAAATAAATTTTTCATCTAATCAACTCACTAGCACAATTATTTGTAGTTATTTTTGTCCCGGGTTAATCGTATATAATTAGCTTTATTAGTTGTACCTAATTCAATTGATCTGGTCTTGATGAAATTAAATGCATTTTTCCTATGTATGTGTGTAAAGCTGACCATTTAATTATTATTAATGTAAATCTTGTACATTAATTTTCACAGAATTAAAATAAACATGCCATTAAATGATTTTACACACATTATTGTGTACAATAATAACGTACACTAATTTTAGGATATTGGAGTACTAAACAATCATTGATATTTATTCATTTGGGAATGTTTCTGTATTTTATTTTCAATACTACCCATCACTATACATTTTGATATATATATATATATATATATATATATATATATTGCATTCTTGTCAGTTCGGCTATACTGTTTTCCTTTTTTATACTCTTTTTCATCGTGAACCTTTTCTTTTTGTATTAAATTATACAATTATATTACTATTAACTGACATTATTTAACATAAATATCAATTCAAAATATAATTATGTGCAATGTTGTAATAATCTCTCTCCCTCACACTTGCAGCACTGAAAACACATGCATTCAGATCAAGGAATTTGGTATTTTCTTTTTATTTTCTTATCTACACCAACCTAGCCAAATCACAAGCTGGTAGATTGCATACTTCAAAGATAATTTGTCAGCATATTTTTTACCTTGGTACATCTGCGTCTTGTTTAGATTTTGATAGATGGAATCCATTTTCTCCCTGTATGTCTTAAAGTATGCTTATTTATATTGACTTCTAAAATCTATTCTTACTGATCAATTATGCAAAATCACACGAAGAAGATGATTGCTTGGTTTACCTCCCATCTTTAAGTTGTGAATGAAACAGGACTTGGCATTTTCTGTTGCAGATTATGTTTAGTAGTATTCTAAATAAACGACTCCCTGCTGAATCTGGCATCAGTGTATTGTGTGTATCGCCTGGAATTGTACAGACCAATGTTGTAAGTCCTCTGAAAACTTTGAATATGTATGGATGGAACATGTATGAATTTATTCTTAGTCGTTCAATATGTATTTTGTGTTTACAAATATTTGTCAAGTTGAATATAACTTCTACAGGAAACCTTCAGAAATCATCTTTTGTATGATCTTATTTGCCCTGCAATTTTCCCATGCCCTTTGCTAGAATTTTGTCAACCTTGTTGAGAAAATAGATGGGGAGGAAGAAGATTGCATTAGATGGTATACATTTTTACACCATAAGTAATACATAATAACCTGATTTTTTTTTTTTTCAATCCTATGAAAATGGATGTGGAAAGGTACCTCGAGGGACCACCAGCCTCCACTCCAATCCTTCCCCTCAACCAAATCTGTCAATTTCTTTCTCATCCTTCCCTTTTAAATAGCATAATATTGAAAAAGTAGGTAAATAGAAAAATTCTGGTTCTTACTGTTGAAAGTCCCACATCACCTACCTCATATCATTTGGTATGGTTTAAATACATGTTAGGCTACTCCACATATTGCCAATTGGTTTTATGTTGGAACCTTAACATGGTATCAGAGTCAAAGCCTAACATCTTTCCGGTTATTGTCATGGGCCAAAAGTTGCCCTTTAGTTGGGTCAAAAGTACCCTTTGCCTGGTCCGACAGGCTTCGTTGGAGGGGGTGTGTTGAAAGTCCCACATCGCCTACCTCATATCATTTGGTATGGTTTAAATACATGTTAGGCTACTCCACATATTGCCAATTGGTTTTATGTTGGAACCTTAACATGGTATCAGAGCCAAAGCCTAACATCTTTCCGGGTATTGTCATGGGCCAAAAGTTGCCCTTTAGTTGGGTCAAAAGTACCCTTTGCCTGGTCCGGCAGGCTTCGTTGGAGGGGGTGTGTTGAAAGTCCCACATCACCTACCTCATATCATTTGGTATGGTTTAAATACATGTTAGGCTACTCCACATATTGCCAATTGGTTTTATGTTGGAACCTTAACACTTACCATCGGATCATCCATATAATGTACAAAAAGAAACTCCAAGTATTTGATATCTTTCTCTTTGAATAAAATCTCAATCCCAACAATGGTTTGATTAGATATCTTACAACTAGAATGATTCTTTTTTCCTATCCAGGTCCTCCACCACCATTGAATCCCAGTTAAATAATGAAGAATTTTATTAAATTGTGGATAAATATGGGAAATTAATAATGAGCTATAAGGTTGAAGCCTCAAACTTACTTCAAGTAATATTGAAAAAACACTAAAACGGCAAAAGTAAATGAGATAAGTTTGAATACCAAATCTTTATTTCGGTTTAACAAACTTATGAGCCAGGCAAATAAGTTTTATATTTGCTGAAATAACTTGTTAAATACACTCTTGGCCCTCTTGGAATTGACCAAAAATAACTTCATCTAGTTTGGATAATTCAGGGATATAATTCATGATAATGATTTACTGCTGCTGGGCCAAGTATCATTTGTGGATTGAAGTAGCTGATTGCAAATCTCAGGAATAGATATAAATGACAAACTGGGCTACTCAGCCAGATGCAAGCTGCTGGTTATAGTCTGATTTCAGTTTTGCCTTCTAAAATAATGTCCAAGCATGTTGAAAGCCCAATGTTCTGGACTTTTGGTGGGCTAAGCCTGAAAAGGTTTTAGGGTTAATTTGGACTCTAAATTTAAGCTAAACTATACATTTAATCTGATTGTTCGACCTATCCTCCCATTTTACCACATTACTCTGTAGTGAGACTTGGTAATTTCTTTATTGCATAATGGGACATATGCAGTCATTGATTCCTTGATTTTCTGCATTATTTGATGAATCAAGCTTTTGTTGTTGCTTATATTTTCAACTCTATCTATCTCAGGCAAGAGATCTTCCAAAGCTTGTTCAAGCTGCGTATCGACTGATCCCTTACTTCATCTTTAGTGCTCAAGAAGGTCTGTTCATTCAATATTTTGAAACTAGAACTATAACAATGTTGAGTTTTTAAGACAGCATAAATTACCATGAATGGTGATTGGATTTGGAACCCATTGTTCTAAGAAATAAATGAAATCATTTCATTTCCTTTAGTAAACTATGGACTTTGGTTTTGGCAGTATATTATTACCTAAATATTATCTAATGCTATAATAAACTGTCCAACCATCCTATTTAATGGAATGTTTTGCAAAAGTAAAATTGTTCAGGACTGACTATGAATACATGTCACTCATGCCGCAATGTAGGTGCAAGGAGTGCTCTTTTTGCTGCCACTGATCCTCAGGTTCCGGAGTATTGTGAAATGTTGAAAGCAGACGAGTGGCCCGTTTGTGCCTTTATTTCTCAAGATTGTCGTCCAGCAAATCCATCAGAAGAAGCACATAGTGTTCAAACATCATACCAAGTGTGGGAGAAGACATTAGAGATGATTGGCCTTCCTTCAGATGCTGTGGAGAGGCTTTTAGATGGGGAAAAAGTTAAATGCCGTTACGGACAAGAACAGTAATCTAATTTACAATGATGACTAAAAACAGTTGATTAGCTGAAGTGTCGCCATATGCTCACCCGTAGTCTATAAGGGCACTTACATTATTTATAGATAACAAAACCTTTTCATTCTTATTATATGGGAGAAGAACCCTTCCTTATTTTTGGACAGCATACGTACATCCATTTTGATCATATTTATGCACTCAGAGTGTCACTTGTTCCTCATAATAGGAGAATTTAGCCAGCCATAAACAGGTGTTTTTGGCCATGAAACTTCTGATGGTCATCCATAGGAGTAAGAACTAAATTAGTAAGCAGAGTAAGAACTAAATTAGTAAGCAATGTGTTGTGATAGTTATTTTGACCATTGTCATAGATGACCCTCCTAAATAATTAAGTGGGTTACAACAATAGTGTTACTTTCAATTTTGGAATGTTATAATGCTATTCTTGCATTCTCATGAGCAGTCACTTTGCTTGCTTTCTCTTTAATTCATCAAAATGTTTAGCATTTTTTTAACTTGTTAGTCAAATGGAAAATTATTAAGTGGGACAGAAAACTTCTCCTTACCATGATTATAAATTAAAAGTTTTACCAAATGATAAATTGAGCAATGGTTTGATTATTATATCCTAGTTCCGGTTTTTGTGCCATGATGCAAGGATTAACGGTAGAACCAGTTGATGATCATGGCCTTGGTTTGATCTGATGACTTAACTACCACCTTATGGTAAAGTTGCGGGAAAGTATAGTGGTTAATTAAAATCATCTTTTTTAAAAGTATCAATTTACCTCTTTCAATTTTTTAAATTACTATTATCTTATCTTTTAAAAAAAAAAAAAAAACTAATCTCATCATTTACTTGAACCAACTGTAATGTGTCAATATTAGACTGAGGATTCAGGACTTATTTTTTTCCAAAAATTCTAAAGTTGGTTGATTGAACACTATGGATCTTTTCATTTATAGAAGATCCATAAAATGTGAAATATTATGAAAAGTGGCAATTAAAGTCACTATAATACCACAGTCTTTTCACAGCTTCTGTCCATTTTCACAGTGATCATCTACTCCACATATGAACCATAATCTGCCTTTAAAACCACTGTTATTGCCATTACTGAACATTCGTGTATACGAGTCCTTTATGCAATTATCATAAGCTGTGGAATCAGCTTGTACGACATTATTTAGGTTGCTTTCATACTTGAACACTGATAACAGAAGGATAAAATGTTTATATAGTTCGTTCAATATATCTGGCAGTGAAAAATTTCAACTGTTATGCAATGAAATATGCAACCATGCAACATTTCGGGATAATATGATGCCAATAAGTAGATCTACGTAAAATGTTTGCATTCTATTTTGCAAAATTATGTTGTTATTGACACTTTGATGTTAGTTTGCATACAGTGATTAATGTTATCTTCATAGTTTTAGCAAAACTAACTTATAATCATATAATGAGCAAAAAATAAGTATATAGTTTATGTTCTTAGATTACTTTAAAAAAATACAACAAAATCATGAGGTTTTATAAAGGGTTTTGCTGAAAATAATCTAAAGAGTAGTGGTTATGAATATGACTGATGTTTTTTTCATTTTCTTTTTCACTTTTGATTCCTTTAAGTATACTTTTTTTCAAAACACATCTAAAGTGACTTTTTCTCAATAAAACGATGATTGTATAACACTCATGAATCACAATCTATGTTAAATGAAATTCATTAAATCATGTGAGTTCAACCTTTTGTTTTATACAAGTCTCACATAAATTTTAGCAGTAAAAAGAACAAGTTAACAAAATATGTGAGTAAAAACAAAGTGAAAAAAGAATGTTAATACAACAACATGTGAAAGAGTATGTTATCGATAGAATTTCCTATCATGAATGTGAAACTCAAAACTTCTAGAACATCACCAACATGAAACTCTTTTCAATCACACCAGTTGTTGAAATAAAAAAGTCAATCCAACCATAACTGTCACCAACAATGTAATTTTAATAATTTCAAATATCTAAATAAGAGATGACTAAAATAATTGAAACCTTTATTTATTTTTCGTAAACGATGCACCCTCGATAATTATATAAATAAGAACATTTTGATTATTTTTTTGTTTACTTGTTAAATTTACTCTATATCAAGAAATATGGAAAACTTTCACTGGTTTTGATTTGGTTTACTCACGTTGAAATTTGGAAATAGATACTTCAAATCGTGTTTGATTGAAAATGATGACATTTTCACAATTTTCAAATTGAAGTTGGCATTTCGTTTGAAGACGAAGCTTCAAAATGGTATAGCCCCTTTTCAAAGCACGCAATCGACCCTACCATATTTAAAGACTTGCCAAAACTCACTCAATTCAATAACGCATTGAATACATGTTTTGAGTTTGGTTTACTGAAATAAGACATGAATCTTACATGATCTTCAATGGTAAGTTTGAGTTGTAAAATTTGTGAAAAGTGAAAATGTAAATGATGGATACAAAGGGTATTAAAGTTGGTACTTCAAATATTTATTTATATGGCTCATACATCACTCATTACACCGTAGGTGAATGATGGATGGATCTCACTCATACTTTTTGTTAACAAGTAACATAGTATTGCATAATTGATCAACTTAAATAGTGGAGGCAAAAGTAAAGAGCCACTCTAGCTTTTACCAGATGATGTTTAACTAATCTACAATTAGTGTCAAGGATTTAGCTAGAGGGCCTTCATGCACTTCTATGTTGAAAGGCCTCATGTTGGAATATACACCATGGCTTATGAGTAAGTAACCTTAACCTACTGCTGCTACCTTTAAAGTGCCAAAAAAGTATGCATATGAACTTTGGATAGAAATTTTGTGGACTCAAAAAACTAACTGCCATGAATTATCAAGTACAGGTTGGATTAGTGCCACACAACAAATCCATGTTCTTCAGCTTTTTCCACAAACTTGGGGACTTCTTCCCATCAAAACTCTTCCCAGAAGAGTTACCATCTTTCCACTTGAACCTCCTAAACTTACCCATCTGAACACAAACCTCCAAAGCTATCCCCTCCCCACTCTTCCCTTTGTTACCATCTTGAGCATCTCTTCTCAGAAGTTTCTCATAGTACTCCTTGTTCCTCTTCTCCAAGCCATGTATCTGTACTTGAAGATCTTCAATTTTCCTGTGTAGCATGTACACTCTATGATCCTCCCTCATCTTCAGCACACACTTTGCCAGCTCACCAGCCTTCCTCTTGATGAACACTGACTCAGATGCCAGCTCTTTGTTCTCTTCCACCAAAGTGTTGATTCGATAACTCAAGCTAGCATTCTCATTCAACAGAACAATCCTTTCAGACTCCAACACCTCAAGAAGGCTCTTTTGTAGCTCACTTTTCCTCGAGGACTCACAGTACCTCCTCTCCATGACACCGACCTCGTGCATCAACAAGTCGTGCTCAACATTCCTAATCACAAGCTCGGCAACAACGGTATCAACATCAAGAATGGAGCTCTTAGGGGTAACAATAGGTATCATCATGTGAGGAGGGTGTTGGTAGGAGATTGAGCTTTCAATGTCTGAATCAACATGGCTCACACCACTGGCTTCTTCCTGATCAGAGAAGCCCTCATCCGTAGTTGAGACCTGGGAAGAGTGTCTACTATGATGCTTTTGTTTGGCCAGTGTTTGGATGTACCGGTCAGATAAGGTTATGTAGCCATTGTACAAGTCCTGCAGAAGGGATAGTAGCTGAGGTCTCTTTTGGTAGTAGGATTCCGCTCTTTCGGCAAAAGTGTCACCAATTTCTTCTTCTTCGGTTGTACTCATCGTCAACACTTTCATCCTCTCCTCCAACTCTGCCATCAAACACCAAGTTTCAGATTTGCATTAGCACAACAATAACAACAAAACCCTTTAACGCAATAAAAAAAAGACTAAATGCTTTCGTTGCATTAGTAATTAGTAATGTGCAAGAAAAAGAGCACAGATAACAAAGTTTTTCCTTACCGGGTTTACACAAGTCCATAGCTTCAGAACCATAAAGTTTCAAGTTGCAAAAAGTTGACATTAGGATGTAGCACAAAGAGGTTAATATAGACCAGATCCGAACTTGGTTGATTAGTAATTGAGCTCTAAGAAAGTGACATGTTACCAAACAGTGACACCAAAAAAGGGAACACTGACAGAACCCATAAATAATTCTGGTACACAAGATAAAACGTTACAAGAAATTAAATAGTGCAAGGCTAATTTTGAAAACAGAATTTGAATTTGCAACATGAGTTAGGCACAAGGAGATGGCACATTGCCACTCTAGTGTCTGGTCTAGAGTAACATCTACTACCTCTAGTTTTGAATGCAAAGGTCAAAATCATGTACTATACCTGAGCATGTGCACTGTAGACAGAAAAGCTAATGTTCTCCAACTTTCAAATTTTTAAAGGGTAAATACAATAAAGTTTAGGGGAATATGAGCACAGGCTACGAGGCTTAAATGGAAAGTCACCGTTACAAATACTACCAAAATCTAATGTACACTGCAGCAAGCAATGCAAGTGACGTGGCCAGGGACCAATTAGTTTCAAAATTTGAAACACAAGATGAGTGTCCAAAAAGCACCGCAAAGGCCAAACAAAAGAACAAAAGGTATGAGAAAGAGACAATGGATCAATCGCCAGAACAAAGAAAATGGGTGTACAAATCTGGTTCAAATCAAATTGGAAATTTGAAAACAGAAACACACCAAAAAGATAGACCTGTCAACAGCCACTTATATGAAAAGACATAAACTTTATGTAATTTTTTTTCCCACAAACAATGCATATAATGTAGAGTGACTTAGTATTATGTGCATTGATTCATACATATAATATTATAATAATAATATAATGGTTAATAAAAAAATAATAGCTTTTTAAAAATTCAATCTTTAGGAAATCTAAAATATATTTTAAAGGCGCGTGACAAAGGGCGCGTGTGGTAAGTGTTGTCTGACAATATGATAATGTAGGAAGGAAAATAATGATGTACGGCATTGTTGTTTCCAAAGAAGAGTTGGACGTTTGACAGTTGACAAGGACATGTCGTGTATGGGTGGATTCTTCTCCTTCATCCCTTTCTTCTTCCTTCCATTGATGATTGCCAGAAAAAGGTTTCCACAGTTTCGAAGTAACTTGTGACAAACCGAACCGAAGAACATGTAATTCCATTTAATTCAGATTTCTTCTGCTTGCTCCCTTCATTTATTAGGACTTCCCATCTTTCTCTTTCTGCTCATACCCCCCCCCCCCCATAAAGGATTTTCCTTTTCATTCATTTAATATATATATTATGATATTGTCACCTAATTACTAATTCAAATACATTTCTTTCAAATACATTCTCCTAACTACTAATTTAAATACATTTCTTTCACATTAATTATAACACTCATCTAACTACATGCTAAGTTTAAATTGGAAAACATTCCATTTTTAAATCATAAGGCTATTTGGTAACAATGCAAACGAAAAACAAAGAGATGTGACTTACAACATGGAGTTTTATTTAGTTAAGCAAAATTTGGTCTTTTGGTAGGGTAGGGTGGAATTAATACATACCAGAAATGTTGGTGAGGAGCCAGGAGGGCATGTTATTATTGGCGATGCTCTTGTCCTTGAACCCTTTTGTGGATGACTGAAGCAATGTGAAATTTGAAATCACTTTTCCCTTGCCCATGTTGGGGTCCATTTCCATCAGTGTCCTCGCTTCAAGCCCCCCCTATACATTGCAATGATGGTAGATTTCATCAAAAAAACAACAACACAATCTTTGAAAAAGGACTGTCGCTCGAAATAGAGGGTCCTTTGCATTTAAGAAGGATGAAAATAATATAGAACAAAGAATAGTGCAAAAGAAAAAATAATATAGAAATTAAGAAGGTAAGGATATTGAAATTAAGATGGTGACACAATTCAAACACATAAACATGCGCAGATCTCCATAAACAATGCAGAGCAGCTAATTACCAATAAAGTATTCCAAAACCTCACATTGGAACGAAGCCAAATTGTTTAAAATATTAGGAAGGGTGCAGTCTGAACATTCAGAATATAGCAAGAAGCCCAAATCCCAAAGCGTTTTAAACCTGAGAATTCTGAGATTCAAAAAGGGAAATTTCCCCATTCTTTAATTCTTCAAATTCTGTGGCTAAACCGGGAATCAATGAAGATCATGTGAACGGCGTGACGACAACAAAGAACACCAATGTATTCAGAAATGAACGGCAGAATAATAAAAAGAGAGCCATGAACAGTTCTTTTTTTTGCTTTGCATAAATGTTTTAACGACAGAGAAAAAACAGAGGGAGGGTGAGACAAAGTTGGAAACTTTAAAACATTGGTCGATCAAATTTGAAAAATGAAACACACCCATTAAAGATCAGATACATTATTAAGCAATGCAGCAAGCAGCAATCACATGGCCCTCAACAATCACATTCATAGTCACAGAGTACTCTGCTAATTTCTCAGCAAACACATGACCACAAAAATGGACCTACAGAAATTTAAAATAATCAATAATAAGAAAATTCCAAGAACAGTAGCAGAATTGATAGGCAAAAAGAGTGGTAGAAGAACAGAAGAAGAAACTCACTGTGAGATGTTCAGGAACTGTTGATATGCAGCACTTGAAGTGAAACAGAGGAAAAAAAAAACAGAGTTGAAGAGGAACTTGATTTGAAAGAAAATTATGAATGTTGCTGTGAGTGATTGTAAAAAAGGAAAGGGTTTGATGGAAAGAGTGGGACCATAGGAATAGGAGTGAGAATCTCTTCCTTCAGTGTCAAAGTCCAACAGCAACATAAATAGTCAAAAACGCATTAACTAAAAATCTGGGAGGATACCGTAACAATCTCAGCAGAAACAAATTTTGTATTCTATTTTCAAAAATTTATGAGAAGTGATACGCTAGTTTAGTATTTTTTTTATATATAATTGATTTCTTGATATTTTGTTTTGTCTAATTCTGTTAGGATGAAGAACAATGCTTCTGTAGGGTTTGGCTGAGTATGGTGGCATTTAGATGAAGAACTTTTGTTGTGTGTTGATGTTTGTTTGGTTAAAAGATAATGTCGTAGGTTTTTATAGCAAGATTTTGTGGTTATCATATATTTACGTGTGGTTTAAAAATCTAAATACCGAAAATAAAATTTGTTTTATTTGTTGTTAATCTAATTTTGTATTATAAATTATAAATAAAAATATATACTTAAAAGAGGAGAGATTGGATATTATAAATTTTTAATATTCTCTCTTATTTGAAGACTAATGTGTATTTATTTAACATGCTACTTTTTAGGATCAACAAATCAAAGTTTAAGAACACATTTTCTAACTCTTTCTTTTTAGCATTTTTCTATCGTTAAATTATTTAAACTGAAAATTCATAAATAAATCATTAAATAAAAGGCAAAGACACTATATTTTATTATATTAAGTTATTTTAACTAGTAAAGAAAACACGTCAAAAGGAATGTGCTTTTAGAAATTTTTTTTTTAGAAGACTAGAATAGGGTCATGTTTTATTATCTTAAGTAAAAAATATTTTCGGGCAGAAAAAAATATTCGATATAAAACACACATATTTTAGGAAAAAATAGATGTTGAATTTAAAAGTTAAGAAAAACGATAAAATAACTTTGTATATACTATAAATAAATATAACTTGAGTAACTTTGTATATGATATAAATAAATATAACTTGAGATGGTTATAGGATAATTACATACACAATAATATAAATTTGAATACAGCAAATGATAATTTAAATGAAAAAAAAGTATTAAATAAAAGTTCAATATTTCTAGTTTTCATAATTAACTTTTGAGATTTGTATAAATAGCGTACAAAAAATTAGTTAACGTGAACTTCATTCTTCTTCTTAAAGAATGTCGTGATGCATTAATTATTATATTAAATTTTTTTTTCAAACATTAATATCATAATAAAATATAAATTATCTTATAATAGGTAAAAATCTCTATATTTTATGAAAAATTTTAAAAGTATAAAAACTAAACTTTATTGAAATGACATAATTTTATAATTATATCTATTTTTTATAAAAAAAATTGAAACTTTGACCTGTCAAACAAATATAACAAGATTATATAAAATAATATTTTTTCTAAAATATTATTTTGTTTACTTTGTTTTTCTCCTGCATGCAAATAATTTTTTTTTCTCCTAAATGAGACAATGACTCTAGTTATAAGATATGTTTATAATTTATTTGTTCTTAAAATTTGTTGAAGTTAGAATGATTTTTTTATTTAACAAATTAAGCACAAATGAAGTTTGATCCTTATTGACAAGTTGAGACTTAATCAACATCATAAATCCATCACAAATACAACAGAAAATAATCTTAACATCAATAATCTGAAGTTAAATAAAACATAATAATTAAAAGAAATGAAGCAAAAGATTCTTGTAAATCAATATAGCACAATGGTGAACCCTTGCAGTGTTCAGTGTTATAGTCTGCAGAATTAACAATATTCAAACACATCTTATAACACTACACAGTTTATATGCCACATGGATGGTCTTATATTCTGCCTCTTGACAGTACCAAAACTAAGAATAATACATTACTAATCAGATTCTCTACTGTTATGATAATCAAGCTATTACATTAGAACACAACACGAGGAGGCCACTCCTACCTAATTCCATCCATTTTGGACCCTACTTACCCGTTTCTACAACTTTAACTTGCATACATTTTCAATGTAAAATATTTCCATACAGATATCCAATAAGACCTTACCTTATATCATCACATCATATTGTAATGGCATGATAAAATGGTTAAATCTTATCAGATGCCTGTATGAAAATACTTTAGATTAATAGTGTATATAAACTAGAATGAAGACCCTCTTGAGTTATTTTCCTAGCTCAAGGGCACAATCATTATGAGACACCCAATTGTGTTTCTCTTCCTCCTCTTGCTGTTTCAAAGTCTCATAGAGAGGAGCATTTCTTGTCTCAGGTAGCCAAATGCTCAAAACTCCGCTAGAAATGGCAAAGCCTCCAAACACAAGGAAAGAAAGAGAAGGGCTCAAACGGCCCAAGACAACCAGCAAAGGTGCCACAGAAGCCCCCAACATTATGGCCTGGCGCAACATTGACACAGCAAAGTTCCTAACATTGGTAGGAAAAAGCTCCACACAATATATGTACAAAATATCAAATGTTGTGGAAGCCCCCATGAATCCAATTGCTTCAATAATCAACTGGCCCCAACTACCTCCATGATTGTTCTGCACTTTTGATGTACCACCTTTGTGGGAAAAAAATGTGCATAGGATAGAGGACACTGCAGCTATGTAAGAGGACACAGATAACAACAAACGTCTGTTGGTAAACCCCAAGAGAAATGTACCAATCACCACGGCAGGAATCTCCATCAGTGCATTGAGTGCTACTGAGACATAAAGGTTGAAGTTCAAGTTTTCTACGTTGAGTTGAACTCCATAGTAAACAAAGCCAACTCCAAAGCCAGCTAACATAACAGTGACCATTCTTATGGCTGCCCATTTTGTGGTCCAAAGGTTCTCTCTATTGTTTGGACTTGTTTCACCACCTTCACTAGTACTGCATGGTGTAACATTTGATGATCCACTAGGGTTGGTTAAGGAGAGGTTGCTGGGGAGTTTTTGCTTCCCATTGAGTCTAGCAAACCTGTCCAAAACCTGAAGGGCCTCTTTGCTTCTCCCTCTTATAAGGAGCCAACGTGGGGATTCTGAGACCAAAGGGAGGAGTAGGACAGAATATGCTAGTGGAAGAAAAGACAAGACTTTGTACAAGCTCCTCCAACATGTTCTGGTTGGATATGCCACAAGGGGGAGTGTGAGGAAGCCTACTGTGAAGAAAAAGAAACCGTATTGGCCCACTTGGCCACGCCACTTGCTGCCTACTGATTCTGTGGTGAGCACAAGACAGCATATGCCAATTCCTGACCTTGCAAAGCCATTGGTAAAACGGAAGAAGGCATATGTCCAAATGTTTGGAGAGAGAGAGGTGGCAAAAGCTGTGATGGAGGTTAAGATGCAGGAAACTTGCACTGTTCTTTTTCTTCCTAACCATGTATCAGATAGGTGGCCATAGATACCAGACCCTGCAACAAGTGCATGTAGGTGATTGTTATTAGTGTACAATTAGCAAATTTAAAGAGTTCAAAATATTTGCAATATAAAAAACATTGTACCTTCAAACAACCACAGATTATACTAAAATTTTAAGATAATCATTATGAAAGAAGTAAACAAACTTATCTTAAATGAGTCAACATGTTTTTAGATAATTTTTAGTGTAAAACTTTTTATGTTATCTATGCCAAGAGTATTTTCTCAGTAGTTATGTAATTTTTTACTACAGAACATGATTACGGTCATAGAGACTTGGTTTCACCTAGCCCTTTTCACTGGATAAACAAGGTTAGATCATGAGAGGGGGATAAAGATTGCCTTTGGTTTTGTAGTTCATAGGTAAAGTATATATAAATTGAAATGCTTCTTTCTCATTGAAAAATTTTAAACATGTAATTTTGTTGAATTTTATGCTGCAATTTTATAATAATGATTTTAAAGTATATATAATCGTTAATATCGTGATTTTCAATTATTCACAGTATAAAACTTTTTATTCTGAGCATAAAAAATATTTTTTTTATTATACAGTTAGATAATAAGCTAATGAGTTACACCACATTCATGAAGAGAAAAAAAGAAAAAAAATATATTTAACAATGGATATCCTAGTAAAAAACAAGCACGAACTAGAAAACTTGGTGTGGAATTTAGTGTAAACCACTGTGTACCTATTAATATTCATAAATCTGTTCAAAGAACAGCATTTTGTTTGTGAACTAGGATTTATTGAAGAGTTTTATTATATAAATCATGCATTAGGAAGACAACCACTTATAACTTTTTCGATCCATAAAATTTATCTATAAATATTTGCTGGGCCACAACATAATCATATTAAATTCACTTTGCAGAGTTTCACATATATAAATGGTTTACAACTACTGATCTAATAGAGTTACGTAAACTTTCTGTTTCTTACTAAATTATGGCTATAGTTGGAACAGCTTAAAAGAGTTCTATAAAGGGAGAAAACAACCCTATCATATACTGATACTGCAAAAACAGAATGATAGAAGAAAACCTTCTGGTCAGTGGGGTAGAGTGCACATGGTTGACTAGTACATGAAGTTTAACAAAGAAAATTTGTCAGCAAACTAGTTAACATTCAATTTACCATGAGTAGTAGATTTACAAAACTATGAGTGAGACTAGTAAAAAAAAGTGAAACTCATCATTTTGAGTATAAAAAAATTGAGCTAATTAGACTAAGTGTATGTTACTGTCATTCATTCCTTGTAAAACAAAAAAACAAGCAATATGTAATATTACTTGGGATATAATGAGATTCAAAAAATTATGAATGAGGTTTGTTGATGAGACTCATTCTTTTTGTGTCTCAAGAAACTTGAACAAATAATAATGCATTAGATAATATGTTACCATCATTCCTTTCAGAACAAAAGAATAAGGATATATGTACCTATGAGAGAGCCAAGGAAGTAGACAGAAGCAGGCACAGCAGCCAGAAACCTTCTATCACATACAAGATTCCACTCTGCTATGATGGAACTTGTATGGCCACCAATCCATTCCCAAGTCCCAGGCACCAACCCACACACAGAACCAGTGCTGCTGCTGCTGTTGCTGTTACCTTGACACAATCCATTTTTGCACCTCCAAGCAGGTGGTTGAGCATCAGTGAAGATTGTCACCAAAGTACTATGAGCATCAAATATCCATGCCAATGACACCAAGAGCACATGCACCAGCTGAGAGAACCCCAAGGACCCCACATACTCCTCCACCACCTCATCCACAGTGAGCTCAAGTTTGGCCTCACTCCCCTCCAAATTTGTTCGCCCCTTAACCAGCCTTTTCTCCTCTTCCATTATGATTCCTACAAGCAAAGAAAAGTGAAACTAAGCAGTTACTACCTTGTTCCAAATGTTAGTATATCCATACCTATATATATATATATATATATATATATATATATATATATATATATATATATATATATATATATATATATATATATATATATATATATATATATATATATATATATATATATATTGTTTTGTTGCTGACTTTACTCTATACTAAGGTTACATTAAAAAGTTATGGGGATGACATGAGTCTAACATATCAAACCCCCCTTTTTGTGTATATAATAAAGTAAACGTTGGTTTGGAAAATATGTGATGAGTGCTTCTAGAGGAACATTTTGAGGTGCATGCTGTGTGTTTTGGGTGAATGTGAGTGGTAGTGGAGGTCTGCCAATTAGCATATACCCTAATTCCATGTTAAATTTTGATTAAAACTTGATGACACATGTATCATAACAAAACAGCACCTAATATATAGAATTAATTGGTGAGATAATGTGGAACAAAGTGATGGAAGATTGCTCAATTATTGGTAATGCTAATCGATGGATCTGGGGCCCATTACTTCACATTTGTGGTGGTTGGTGGAAGAATGAACAAGATAATCAACTGGAAACCATGGAGAGACTATACTTTCATCCTGTGGTGATTAATCTCTTATGTGCAGACCTAATCAAAAGGATAGTTAGTGAAAGTTCAACATATGATCCTGAAAATAAGTACACTGAATATGTATATATAAGCATGTATTGGAAATTGAGTGTTAAAGATAATACATCAAAGGGTTCTCAAAACAGAAGTGTTGGTGTTTGAGACCCCAACGCACTCACCTTGTGAATGAAATGAGTGGAAGGTTGTGGTATGAAAGCTGGTTGAGCAGAGCTAGAAAATTGACATGCTTTATTCAAGAAACTGAAAAAATGGTTGATATCTTGGCCATGAAACAGACCAACTTCAGTGCATATATTTAAATTTTTGGGTGAACTTGTTACTTGTTCCAGGGGAAGTTCATATCCATCGCACATGTTTAGATTCCACATATTACATTTTCACGCACTATTTAATAACTAATTTACACAAATTGTTTCATGATTTATACTCAATTTAAATACTTTTTAGTCTCTTTAATTTTTTTCTTCTATAATTAAATATATTTTTTATTACTAATATGATAATTTTTTTTATATTCATAAATATGCGATTTTATTATTATTTAATCACAATTTTTTATGTAATTTACTTATATGCGATTTTTTTTCAAAACAAATTTAATTTACTTATTCAGAGGAAAAAAATAATTTTTATTCAGTTTGTGGATGGACTCTACCTATTTTTATTTTAACTCTTAAAATTTTAATTTATTCATAAATTCGTGAAAAAATGTTAAGAGAGTTAATCATTTAACAAATTATTAGAAAATGAGACCCATTTTTCATTTATTTTCTTTTCAAACCCTTCAAATTGTTTTATTATTACAATAATGACAAAAAAAATATAGAGATAAGGTAGAACAAAAAATTCCTTCGCGTGTTTCACACATTTTGCATTTTTTAAGATTTTTTAGTAGCCACCAAAAGAGCCTTTATTTTACTCTCTTTTGTTCTTACTCAAATGAAGGAAATTTTTTCTATTTTTAGAGACTCTTGAAAACTATGAACACTAAATGCATTTTAACTTCATACGGGTTATGACACAATTTCTCATTCCACATAAATTTTGAGATAAACCTTTCACCAAACTAGTTCATCAATTCGCGATAAATATAAAATGATATAAAAGGGTATGTTTAATTTGTAATTTTAATACTTTTTATAAAAATTGTATAATAATTTATTAAAGTAGTAAGATACGATAGTACACGCATGATTAACAAAAAAAAAAGTGGATGAAAGAAAAAAAACGTCTTAAAATAGTAATCATAAAATGGAAAGAAAAAAAAGCTACAAATTTAAACAGGTAAGTTATAAGTTAATTAAATAGCTTACAACTATTATATTATAATAGATAAAAATTTATATTTATATTTTAAAAATAATAGTATTTTTAATTATTGATCAATTATTTTGAATTTCAAATTAAAATTAAAACAATCATGCTAATTATATTAACAAAAATATGTGTAAATGCATTATTAAAAAATAGGATTTTTATATCAATTTTTATAAATATTTTACATTAATTCTTGAACTGATATAGATGTTATAACTAGAGAAAGTGTGAGAATTTTTACATCAATTAACAATCTTTATAAAAAGTGTATATATATAACATTAGTTCCTTTTATAATTGATATTATATGTCTAAAATCATATATATTGAATAGGTAAATGTCAATATTTTTATACATAATTATCGATGAAGTACTATTTATTTTTTATATATTTTCACATAATATAATAAAATAATATCAATAACAATATACAATATCAATAACTTTTTTTGTCCATTTCTTAATAAAGTTTATTATATAATCAATAAAATAAACAGAAGTGATATGTTTACCTAGAATATCAATAAGAAAGATGAGAAGTGACAATGACATAAAATAATAGCGATAATATTATAGACAATAGAGAAATCATCATTATTTTTTGCATTAGGGTAATTACAACAACCGGATAATTACATAGTAAATTTGTTGCAATGGTTGAACAATTTTTGGAGAAGAGGAGATTCAGAGAGAAGAATTTTTGAAAAGAATTGTTGCAATGATAAATTACTAATATATCTTATTTAAGTAATAGAAGTAGCCACTAATTACAATTATTTTCATTTCAGTTAAAATGTTGAGTAATTAAAATGAAAATTTAATCGAAAAAAATAATAGTAATGAAACATAAGTCCAATTTATATAAAAATTTAATATTATTCTTAAAAAAAAATTATGAGTATTTATATATATATATATATATATTATTTAACTTTTTTATTTTTATACTAAAATTTAAATTTATACTTGAATTATTTAAAATAAAATGATAAAATTTATATTTTATTTAAAATTTCTTTTCGCTTCGTTGTCTATTTGATTATGTTCTTTTATATTTGTTGGCGTAATTTAAACATTTTGCATCTTTTAAGATTTATTTAAACTCTTTACTATGTTGTTGCTGCCAAAATATTATCCTACTTATGGAGACTTGTACTAATCAACCATGTGCACTCAACCCCACTTACCACAATTTTCAAAATTTTATTTTGGCTCCTCATAAATACATATATAACATTCAATAATTTAAGTTATCCAAATTAAAATAAATATTAATTTTTTTTGTAATATATTATAATTGTGGATGGTTTGACAAATTTGCATAACATCTCATTCTCACGCATAATACAATGCTAATTTATAATATTCTCACCTTTGAAATTTTTTACAAATTTTCACATATACGTTATAGCTAACCTTATCCCTGTTTTGAGCAAGAAAAATGGTTCTAGTGGCATTTCTTTTACATATATATAAGGGAAAATGGTAAATAGTTTATTATAGTATTATCTCATAATTTTTCATTTTTTAAAATTTAATAACTAGTATTTTTATAAACAATATGATTTAACTTAATTTGTTTCAATTATTACTAAAATGTATTGATTAAGTAAATTTCATCATTAGACTCACAAATAATTAAAAACAAAATCTTCTTCATTTTCCTACCTTGTTCACAACATTCTCTTTATAAAAACATTAGGTTGAAGTGGCAAATGACGTGTTTTATGAGTAAGATAACAACATTAAATATTTCTATTGTTTAATCTTAAATACACACAACTAATAATGTGGTCCTAATGGAGTTTAAACCTCTTCATTATAACACTTGTTAAAAGAAAAAAAATGTATAGTTTTAGATATTAGTGTCTCATTTTATGGAGTATTAATTACACTACAAGATTAATTTATCTTAGTTGAAATAATTTTTTTAATATAATATACTATGTTTTTCTTATTAAATAATTTAATATATAAATAAAATAATATATTTAAGTAAAAATCACACGTTATTCTCTGATTTGTGAAAAACTTATAATATTCTCAATTACCCAAATAAATTTTAGTCACTATTAGAATCAATAAATTTGAGCATTCATAATTCCTAATAATTCTGATCCGTGGATACGAAGAGAAAGTTAAGAGTTATTTCGTCTGTTCATTAATTATTGAACATAATTATTAATTTTAAGAGAAGAAATAATTTAAATAAGGAGTAAGCATAAGTAAAACATGCTGATTACTATGGAAATTTACCTGTAACGTATTATTTAAAGAATGTTGGAAATATGTTAGCAAGGAAAGAAAGAAAGAATATTGGAAAAATTAAAGTTGATGATGGTAACTGTTGGTATGATGAACACCATTTTTGAGGAACATTTTAGATGAAATATCGTTATCAGAGAATGTTACAAAAATTAGAAGGCACTAATTGATTAATGGTTATCCTAGGATGAGTCACATATGATGATTTTGTTTTTCTTTTTAGGGTTTCTTTGTTTGGTGGTCATGAATAAAACATTTTCTCAATCCTGTCTCAGCTATCTTTCACTCTTTCTCATGTCATACACCACCAATATACATGTTTTATAATTGTTAGTATTTAATATATATATATATATATATATATATATATATATATATTAAAAGTTATTGTTTTAAAATAACCTGAGTATAGTATCCATCTGTCACATACTTATTTTATATTATTTATATAAGTTATTATTTTCTATAATTTAAATTTAAGAATAATTATGTTAGAAAAATATATTTATAATATTTTTTTAATTATGACTTAAATTTGAATGTCTAGAAATCATGTTTTGTTTTTAATATTATCTTTGAGTGCTTTCGATATTACATTTTCAGCCTTTTAATTTAATGTTAGATTTAAGCGATTTAATAATCAAAGTTAAATTTTATTGTGCTGTTTAATCTCCAAATTAAGAACAAAAAACAGTATGATTACAGTTCTTTTCTTAAGTTTAACATCAAAGGGATTGAAATTTTTAACACTTGTAGAATCTAATTTTTATAATGTAGAAATTTTAACATTTTCAAAGGGATATTTTAGAAAAAAAATATTAGTATAATTTTCACATTTAAATAACAATTGCATGTTATTTAAATTTCTATTTTGGGCTAATTTATTTATAGGAAACTCTGACTGAGGCCCAACACTAATGTCTGAAAAATAAGAGAGTATGAAATTGGGTTGGGCCCGTATAAGACTTACCTGAAGAAGAATCAAAAGATCCAAAACCCAATACCCACCAAATTAGACAACTAAACAACATGAAGATCATCCAGTGAACACACACACATATAATAAAGTAAAAATGTTATTTTTTTTTTCTAATAATAATGACGTGAACTTCATTTTTTGACCTCTCTAACAACTCTTTCAATTCTCAAATCCCAACATTAAAAATCCTATTGAAGAGTAATATTTATATTTGTACATATTTATGAAAGAAAAATGTTTCACATGTAATGAAATATACCATGGTAAATATATATTTATATTTAAAAAAAAAAACTATACATCAAAGAATCTTTATTTATTATTTGATGTTCTACCTATAAAATGTCAGCAACAGGTGTGATCACAACCTTTGTTTTATTGAGGTATATTCTGCATTGGATTGTGATCCTCTGGTAAGGGCTCAGCTGGTATGGGAGGTGGATCAGGCATGCTGAAACATGATGTCAACAATGCACAACATCATACAAAGATTCAAAACCATGTCCAATGATAATATCCACATCATAAGTTTACATACTCAGAACAAGTTTAACGTACCGCTAAATCACATATATAAAGAATGATTAAGAAATGTAATTAGCATTACCCGCAACGTTGTGGAACTGTCCAAGAAGAATTGAAGCGTAGTCTATCAAATTCAGACAATGCTATGTACTTCTTCCAATCCTCAAGCAGAATTTTGAGATCGTTAATTTTGTTGTCTATGCCAACACAACAGTTGGCATGCATGGTTGAGACCTGGTTGAGGTCCCTGCTAGGTTGACAAAACCCTCCAAAGTAATCAGTGCTAAGGAACCTAATCTTCACCTTCATGACAGAAATCAAGGGGTGCAGTTTGATCATGTTGAACACAGCCTGTTCTCCAAACCCTGGGAAGTAAATCCTAGCGTTGATCCAGAACTTTATAAACCAAATTGTTCGCGCATTTGATCTCATAAACTTAAACCCTCCATTTGGAAAGTTGCTTATGTCAGAGGAGTTGCCATTGAAAAAATCACATGCTATTTGGAAATCTGCATCTTCGTCCAATAGGCTGAAGGGATCTCTTAGCCACATTATATCAGTATCCTACGAAGCAAAACAACCAAACTAGCCCTTTACTTTGTGTATTCAAATGAAAAGGTTCATTCGAATCAGTATCTTATCTATGATCAAAGATGATTTTTCTTTCTAAAGAAATGAATATATGTATATACCGTAAACAGAAAGTTGTATCCCAACTCAAGGACAGAACAAAGGAATTTAGCTCTACCCCAAATCAATTGAAGGTAGTTTGGGGACATGTAAAACATTTCACCGGTGAAATTGCCCTCTTTATTTTCAGCTAGGTAACAGTACTTGTGCATGGCAAGGCAACGACCATGTGTGTGTTGGTCATAAGTTATTACCACCAAGTGGTTTAAAAGCCTTTGTGTCTGGTTACCTAGGCGAAAACTCTCGAGAAAGAGGTCAAATATGGAACCTGGCTCTGCCCATGCATCGTTCAGAGTGGTGATTATTACTGTCTTATCCTCCATAGATGCTTCTTTAAGAATATTCTCTAACCTTCGATCAGGATCAGCCTGATGCATTAAGCCAAGACTACATCAAACACTGGTTGAACATTTCACAGAAGAAATTTATAAAGCACATTATAGTTCAATTCAATCCCTTCATTGAGTGCAAAAGCATCAACTGTGCAACAAATCAAATTATCTGAAATTTATGTAAAATGTAGTAGTCCACTATTAATGGTCAGAAAAAATCCAATAAAATATGGCAAAAGTGCATAAGATATCAAGTAGGAAGTGAATAGTATGTGTGCTAATAGGTGTATATATATATAACAACACTATGTTACCATTTCAGGTGAAATTACATTTTGCAGTAAAAGATTTGATCAATCCAATCAAAAGGCAAACATGAACAGTAAAAGCATAAAAAAGCATCAAAACCCAAAATTAAAGAATTTTCAAATCTGTTGATTGGTTTGCAAGAAAACTAAGCATCAAAGACCAAAACTCCAAAATCCACTCCTTTCATACTCCTATATTTTCACCACCAATAACAGCATGAACAATAAGATCATAAAAAAAAATACCAAAACCCAAAATTCAAGAATTTTCAACTCGTTGATTGGTTTGCAAGAAAACTAAACATCTAGGACCAAAACTCCAAAATCCAGTCCCTCCGAGTTCCATTCTCCTCTATTTTCATCACCAATAAGAGCAAACATCAACAAGAACATAAACAAAAAGCATCCAAACCCACAATCCAAGAATTAAACTTTTTCATTGGTTTGGGAGAAAACTAAATTGACCACGTTCAATCCTCTCAAACTTTAGCCACCAATAATTCCAATTGCAATGCAAAAAACAACAAAACTTGGCAGTGACTCACAAACATAGAGAGAGAGAGACTCACCTCTTTTGACACAGCAGTGAGGTGCGAGAAGGTAGGAGACTGAAAGGGAGAGGCAGATATGAAGAGAAACATACACAACACAGCAAACAGAGCAAGGAACATGGTGAATTGCATCACCCATCTCACTGAAAGGTGATTACCAGGATTCCATGGATTGTTGTCACCGGCGGCATTATTCTTCCCGGGGGAGTTAGGAGTGTTGTCCTTCATTGTTTGACGAACTGAGTTGGGGTGGGGAAGACTACTTCCTTCAATCCTTGAAGAAGAACCACCTTCCTGTGCTTATCATACATCATTCTTTTATTCATTTAATCACCATCAATGTTTCACTTACTATTTCTACATATCTTAAGTACTCGTATATTATAAACCAACCTCTTTAGGAAGCTAAATCAATACAATTTATACTCTTTGATATACACTATCAATTACTATTTCACTTTTTGCAAAAAACATTTTTTAGTGATTAAAAAATGTTTTTGGTATTATTTAGGTTTACTCCTTTTTAATTATTTATAAATAAATAAATAAAATTTACTTTTTTTATTTTATTTTTGAATTTAATAAATTATATTAATTATGACAACATATATTAGAGTGGGTTTTTAGTTCACACTTTATAAAATAAATTATTTTCGTTGCATAAGAGTTTGATTATTTTTGGCCATTGTTTCTTCCCAAAATTAGGAGTACTTTATATATTTCCATTTTAAATGTTTAATTTTTATTTATTTAATAAGTTTTTAGACATCTATTAAACTCCAAATAACTAACATAATTTGATAAAATAAAACTCCAAATTTAAAATCATATTATCATTCTATGGCCATATAAAATACCTATTATTTTAAATAATAAATATTTTTATCACTATGTGTTTTTCTAATATAATTTTTTAACCAAAAATAAAATTTTAAGGTTGTGTTGTTTAAATCATGATAGAAATCATGATTCATTACCTTACGGTCTTGTCTAGAGATGAGGTGTTGACGGTTAGAGTCGGATTCGGCCATACAATCGTCGAACCATTGAAAATCAACAATGGTATATTCTGAACCACACTTAACCATGTCGAACTTCGATTTTCTAGGGTTTCAAGTGATGCAGATGATGGGATGTTAATGGTGACCTTTCACGGTGGTCAATGGTTCCTTCACGGTGGTGGTTGGCGGTGACATGATCCTTCACAATGACCTAATATTTGATGGTACTCCTTCATGTGGTTAAGAAAGTGATAAGCCACTTCAAAGTTAGACTCCAATTCCATGTTTGGCATGGCCATGTGTGAATGATCTAAAGGTGGCAAGATGAAACATTCTTACGGAATGAAATTTTCTGAACAAAAAAAAAAAAAAAGATCTTGAGAGTTATTGGAAGAAAAGGAAGAGAAACACTATGAAAATGGAGGCTGCACGGAATGTTCTCACAACAAATCAAATTGTTACAAAAACCTTGAATAAGGTTTCTAGATTTAGTAAATAATAACGTTTTTTTCGTTCGATTTACACGGAATGAGGATGATTCACGCAATATTTTTTTTTCTGATAAACTTTTTACATTTAATTGATGTGATGATTTTTTTTTTAATTTTGATTTTATAATAATAATAATAATAAGTCAATATATTAATAATAGTCCATAAGTAATTGGTAATATACATTAGAAACAAAATTAAAATAACTTTATTAATAGATAGTCATGATCCAGTTTATTTGAGTAGAAATAGGTTAAATACTGAACCTGGTTCTGCCCTTGCATCTGTCAGATATCGAAAAGGATGATGTAAATGACATGGTAACTTGCATCCTCCTTTTCACCAAAATGTTGATACCACCGGAATTTCATGCCTTGATGCCGTCTCCGGCGGCGCCTACGGTTGTGTCCATCGTTGTTTGCGGAATAGGGGTGGCAAAAATGATCTCTTTGCCTTCATGTGAAGAAGACCTTTTTAACTTGCTCATTTGTTTTCTTCTCCGACAAAACACCAACTACGTACCAGAACGTGTTTTTATTTTTATAGTATTTGAAAATTTTCAAGATTTTCCCAAGCTTGTGTTTGCGACACTTTTTTTGGAGAAACTAAAAGGGATTTGAAAAGAAATATCTAGTTTCTTCTAATCAATTTATTAGTTGACATTTTTGTTTCTTCATGAATCAATAATAATTAGAATTTAATGAATATAAACTGTGTTAAAAAGTTTTGACATCATCAATTGACTAATAATCCTCTTTCGTTTTAGCTAATTTCAAAGGGAAATGAAAGAGTTTGTAACCGTGATTATTATGAATATCAACAATGGAGTGTAAATTGTATTTATACTATCAAACATTCTTTTTTATATTGTTATCAATTAAATTAACCATCTTTTAGTGATGTTTGTATGAGTTTTATTTATTTTATTTTATTTTATTTTTTATGCTATTTTGGCATGTGGCTTTGTCCCATGCTAAACTTTAATAAATAAAAAAGTTTTTCTTTTTCTTTTATAAAAATAAACTTATGAAAAATTATCTTTCTAAATTCATAATAATAACTTGTTGTTTTGGGTTAGATGATAGAACTTGTTTAAATGCAAAATTAGATTTGTAAGAATTTACGAACTAGTCTTTATATTACAAAATATATTTTTAATAAATAAAATATGAAAACGAGTTTAGTTTGTATCAAAAGATGTCTAATATTGTTAATTATGATAGTTTTCTAACGTACAAGACAATGAATCAAATGAAAATAAAAGAAAACTAGATGAGGATGTAACCACTACAACAAAATCTTATTTTATCCATGAATTTAGAGTTGTTACGAAATTTAGTCTTATTGACAGATATATTTGTCTCGTAAATGAATAATGGATATATCCGTTGATAAATTCGTCAGTAAATAAATAATTAATTTACTGACGAATAAATCTGTCAATAAATAAACAAATAATTACCGACAAATATATGTCGATAAGTCCGTCAATAAATGAATAAGTAATTTTATTCATTTATTGATAAATTTAAAATATATTTTTAAAAATCAATATTAAATTTAAAAAATTAAATATTTAAAATTATATAATAATTACTTAATTTTAAATATATTCTAATAAATATGACACATACTTTCACTTGTCGAGCGTGCTCTCACATCTAACCTATAAATATATAACTATATAAATATATTTATATTTATATATTTTATATTTATACATTTACACGGATATACATTTATTTGTATATAAATATAATTTATTTGTATATAAATATAATTTATTTGTAAATTATTATTAGAAAAACTTAGTAGTATAGTGGTTGGAGTATCAACCTCCAACTCTAGGATAAATTCTAAAATTTGTAATAAATAATATAATATAAATGATAGGAGGACCTTTAGATAAATAGATAGATGTAATAAATTAAAATATATTTTGTCCGTCAAAAAATCTAATTTTTTTATCCTAAATAAAAGATTAAGAAATAGTTTACCTTTATTTATTTTCGAGACTAATTAAATAAAAAAATTATGTAAAAGTAAAAATATAATATTAACTATTAAATTACAGTCTAATTGCTTGAAACATACAAAAGGTGTTTCAAATAATATATTTATAGCACAATTTTTTTTAAGTAAGAAACATTATGAGGTTAATATTATTTAGTTATAAAACATCTCAATAAAGTTGAAAACGAAGTATTGGGATGAATCAACTAGGTTTAGATGTTAGAGTTAATTTATCTTAATTACTTGGTTTGTAATGCACATGAGATCATCTTTGGAGACTTTTGGATGCAATGAAAGTTATATGTATTGAATGCAACAACAAAAAAAGTTGAAATTTTTATTTTTTTACTATCTGAAGTTTGGTCAAACCAATTGACAGGTGAAGTAATTTTTGCCACTTGCTATATTGGATACTAGTTTTTTTAGTAACGTTGTGAAAAATTTATTAGTTTGTCAACATTAATCTTTACAAAAACATTTAATTTCTTTAACCATAATAATATTGGTACAATCTTGTGTTTTTTTTTTTTACAAAACTTAAATCCATATTACTATTCAAGAGATTCAAATTTATTTTCAATCAAATCAAGCTTAAACATGTTTTTTTATTTCTAAAACATTACTGAATTTTGATATTTTTAATTATTTAATCTTTCTTTAACTTTTGTATCTATGCTAGTTTTTGTTTTGATTTTGATCACATAAATGTAATCTTACCTATTTTATTTATTTATTTATTGAAAATACTATCTAAACTAATTTTATAACTAGAAACATGATAAAAATATTAAAAAGTTAAACATTTCATTAAGGACTAAAGCGATATATTTTATAACAAAATATATTTAAACTAATTTTTTTATTATAATTATATTTGAAAAAAATAGTTGGGAAGTTGTTAAATTAATTTATTAAAATAAATTAAATATGTCAAATTTTTATTACATTTATTTGAAAAAAAATGTTAAAATTTAATAAGCTAACTTATTAAATTATAAATGTATAAGTATAATTTTAATTTAGATTTATGTAACTGATATTGAAATTATATATTTTAACGTGGATTTTACGAATTGCTTAGAAGTAGATAAATTATTTATATAATTAACTTATAGAAAATTTATACTAAAATAAAATGGCATATATCATCTATAAAAATTCTTTTAAACAATTCTTATTATTATAAATTATTCTGAAAAATATATTTATGAAATATGGTTTGAATATAAAATAAACTAGTAAAAAAAAACTAAACATATGAAATCTATATATTAAATTAATCTTCTTCTTAAAAAAAAACAAAAAAACAAAAAAAAAACCTCCACATACGTAATTATTAGCAAACCACTCTTAACTTAAGCTAAATTATAGGATGTTGAAATGACTTATTTGACCTCCAAGAAATAATCAAAGTCAAATGTTAGGCACGTGAAGTTGTTATTTTGTCTTGCATTTATGCCAATGAATTCAAATTTTCTATGATTTTTTTTATAAATATTTTTAGAAAATAAAAATATAAAAATTAATTCAATCTTTTAATTAAATTATGAATAATTAAATGAAGAAATTATCTTTTATATGTGGAAAAAGTTTAATTATGTTATATAAGAAAAGTTTATATATTTTTAATTCATTTCTCATAACTATGTTAATGAGAACTAACTTTGATTTTTAAATAATTACAAATATATTATTTTATTTTTATTTCTATTTTTAAATATAAACAATAATTTCATTTCATATTTATTAATTTTTTTATAAAAGTTTAAAAGCAATAAATAAATAAAAAATAATAGTATCATAAGTATTTTATACCATACAAAGTTATTTGTGTGATTTTTTGTGACTGCACTTTTTTTATGAAAAAAAATTAAGTTTTTTAAAAAATTATAATTTTTTATTTTGTAACTCATGTTAAAGAAAAGAAATAAAAAAAATAACCTAAAAAAATCATAAACTTTAAAATATTTTATTAGAATAAATAAATAAGTAAGAAATAGAAATAAATATTGGCTTGTAGTAGATTTTTTATTCTTACTCACTTTGCATAAAATTTTGAAAGTTAAGAGTTTTCACCTCACTTTTATATATATATAGGGAACATCATATTCAAATTCACATATATGTTGTTTTTAAGTTAAAATAGTAAGCATTTGTTGGTAGACATTTTCTTTTATTGATGCAAGTTACAATTTTATTATTTTTTTTAACTTTGGACAAAAAAGGGATTTTTTAAAAGAGAAATAAGTTTTTTCAAGATATAATTGTACAATTAAAGGAAAATTCATGTAAACTGTATTTTTTTTTAAAATGCAAAGATTAGAATAAATACATAAGAAATGACAGGTGGATAATTTTAACAAAATTTGACTAAATAAACTATTGAAATTCAGAATTGCAAGTTTTGTCTTAGAATTTGAGAACTTTAACAAAACAAGGTTTTTCTCTGTTTCTTGCATTTTAATGTGTGTCTTGTGCCACTTCTGTTCTTCATATTTCTTATTTGTTGCAAGAAAATTGGTTTGCCAACCTCAATCATTCTCCAACCTAGCTACAAAACCAATTGAAAAATGTAATCAAATCAACATATAAACATTCCTATTTTTAAAAATTTTATTAACCTCTTACCTTTTCCATCTTCATTTCTAAATTAACTTAAAATGTTTTTTTTTAAGTATAGTAAATAATTAAAAATAACTTTTTACTTTTGTTTGTTTATTATATAGATCTAAAAAAGTTTATATGTTCAAAAATGCTTATTTATCACAAATTTAATCATAATATAATTTATATATTCAAACTATTTATTTAACATAAATTTTAGTTATATAAAATAAACAATTATATATCATGCTAAAATACTAGTTTTAATTATACATTCTCAATATAGTTTTTTTTTTTTGTTTTCTCTCATTTAGAGTTATACTTCATAGTTATCAGTAGTAATATTGCAGAAAATTTGGCATACCATTTTATACATGCATCAAACAGTTACAGCCAAAGCCTGTCACAACTTCCTCCCTTTATTCTTCTCCTGCATCCTTTCTTTGGAACGGTCAAAGGACGTCCTGAATGATGTCAACAATGTGGAAAAATTATACAAAAGAAAATGATGTCCACTAATTATGATAGCAACGTATATTGAACCCTCCATTATTATATTTGTGGCAGAAAAAATATATTAGATGTTTTTTAAAAAACTTTCCATCAAATGAATGGACATGTTATTTTTATTTGTACATGTGATATATACATGTAATTTCATATTATCTAAAATCTTCAATAGTCAAATTTGGTTATGATTCTTATCAAGCATTCATTGAATAAATGAACCAAAAATTTATTTCCATTACCTGCAGCTTACGCTCCAAGAAGGATAAGACTGTTTTTTCTCATTTTCAGGCAGTGCCACATACTTCTTCCAATCCTCAAGCAAAATTTTGAGATCACTGACTTTGTTTTCTAAACCAACACAGCAATTGGCATGCATTGTTGAGACCTTGTTGAAGTCCTTTGCATGCTGACAAAACCCTCCAAAATAATCAGTGGTGAGGAACCTAATCTTCAGCTTCATGTTGGAAATGAAGGAGCTCTTTTTAATCTTGTTGAGCACATCCTGGTCATGCAACTTGGGATAGGATCTCCTAGAGTTGAACCAGAACTTGTAGAACCTGATAGTTCGGTTATTGGATTTAACATAATTAAACCCTCCATTTGGATAGTTGTTTAAGTCATATGAATTGCCGTTGAAAAAATCACAAGCTATTTGGAAATCTGCATCTTTGTAAAATCGCTTGAAAGGGTCTCTAAGCCACATTATATCAGTATCCTACAAAAGAAAACAAAAAACAATTTTAGATGAGACTAATCTCTATTCATTGACGATGTAAAGAGTTACTGTTTACACTTACATACGTTTAAAAGATTTATGATAAAAGTTGACAAAGTTAGCATAAACGGCAACTTTTAATTGATTGACAATGCAAAAATCCTTTACTTTGTTAGTACATTTACTATTCATCATATTAAATTTGTGTATTCAACATTGAAACTAAATCCCTGTAGTCTTTGTGGTTGTGTGTGTGCATATTGAAGATTTTAAGAAGCTACTTTGCAATCAAAGATGTATATATATACCGTGAACACAAAGTTGTACCCCATATCAAGCACAGAACCGAGGAATTCAATTCTTCTCCACATCATGTTTAGGTAGTCTGCGGTCATGAAAAATGCTTCACCGGTGAAATTTTCACCTTTAGTTTCAAGATGGTAACAATGCTTGTGCAAAACAAGGCAATGAGCATGTGCCTTTCGGTCCCAAGTTATTACCACCAAGTGATTCAAAAACTTCTTTGTCTGGTTCCCTAGGCGAAAACTCTCAAGAAAGAGGTCGAATATGGAACCTGGCTCTGCCCATGCGTCATTTAGAGTTGTGATTATGACTGTCTTATCCTTCATAGATGCGTTTTTAAGAATACTCTCTAGCTTTGGATCATATTCTGCCTGATGCATAAAACCAAGACTTCATCAAACACTGGGCAACCTAAGTTCACATTTCTCATAAGAATTTCATCAAACACGTCAAGGGATAATAAGACAAAGAAAAGCTACGCTAAACAACTAGTTTCTAATATGATTCTCAAAGAGATAAAACAATCTATTCCCTTTCTAGAATCCAGAGGCATCAAATGTTTCAGATGTCCAATAATCTGATAGCTATGTAACTCATAATGGTTACAAACATCCAAAAACAAAAAAAACAAAAGTGGAAAAAATGTACAAGCAAGACATCAAAAGAGGAAGTGAATATACCATATGCCAAATACCATATCTCCAATAGGGACAAAAACAAAACTTCTAAACATCAAAGTAACAATTTGGTCCCCTCCATTTGCCCATTTGACCACAGAACTAGTGGCACAATATGGCTATTTTGGGTGAAAATTATGGATAAATTCTACATTTGCAATGAATTCCAACCTCTCACCAATATGCAACTATAGAATAGTAGCTCAGTGTGGAATCATCACACTACCATTATAGATTATGGCATCCACAAGAGAACAATATCTGAAAAGAAAATCGCATCCCTTTATTCCTTTCCCACTTATATACCAATAATCAAACAATAGCTTATAGCCACTATGGATCATGGCCTTTTACCTAAAATTGCAATTAAGATTTTGCCTACTATAGTAAATATAAATGAATGAGAATATGATGAAAGATTAATGTGAAGAACTTAGCATAAGTCTTCATTGGGACAACCATGTGAACAGCTGGTTATGTCTGATGGCCACTGGGTTTGGCACATGCTACACCAATGTCGTGACAACGTGTACAAAAATATTAATTTGGTGAGGTTCATGAAAAGACATCAACTATGAAAAAAAATTAAAGCTAAAACACTAATTAACTAGGAACAATATTATTCCCATATAAATGCTAATAATAAAAAAAAAAATTCAAGTCTATTGTCACTAGTTTAAATAAAAAGAATTAGAAATCAAGTTATATAGTCGAAGTTTGTCAATGGTTTTCCATCAATAATTGGTTCTCTTCTATGTGATGTGATTGACCAAAACAGAATATTAGTCCAAGTTTGGTAATATTTTCTTTCAAAGGATTTTTTTAATATATTTCATTTCTTTATAAAACTGATTTTCTATAAACTGAATTTTTCATGATAAATTATACAAATTTTACTCACTTTCTCAATTTTAAAAATTTAACTAAAAAATAATAAAGTTTGGATAAATTCTTTTTTTAGTAGGTTATAAAAATATCTTTAAAAGAATAAGATCGTAGCGAGACCCAATAAAAATTAATGTAAAGTAAGAACACCGTAAAATTCCATAATCTGTGCAGAATATATAAATTTGAATCCCATACAGTGAATATATTAGTTCTTAATAATTTTGATGAAAAATACTTAGAAAAACTATTATAAATAAAATATATTATTTCAATATTAAAATAATACATTTTATTTTTCAAAATATTTTAATAACTTTCAAAAAATACTTTTAATAAAGTTAAAAAACGATCAAAATAGAGTAATGATAAATATACCCTACCCAATATGCTTGTGTGCATTTATTATTGGACACTGTATATACTACCACTGTCAATAATACAACCAAAGTTCCACCGGAATATCCGATATCATGTAGAGAGAGAAAGAGAAGAAACAAATCTCGAAATTATTTAATCAATTAATGTCATTAATGTTGAAACGCCAATTTGAGTCCTTTCAAATACCATCAACACTCAAATAAAGTACAAGTTCCAATCACTTTTACGTAAGTTTTAGGGGGATCATAAAAAAAAATCAATTTTTTAAAATTAGTAAATAAATACTGACCAAAACCTAGGTCTATTGAATCCCATAACCAAAAAGAAAAACTTCCAATTCAGAATTGCAAACACATCTATTTCAAAAACATGCATGGCTTTGAAAATTATAGGCATTGGGACTAGGAATTTTGTAGCCAATGCCATGCTTTTATGGGCATTGGAGTGAGAAGGAGGAAAGAGAAAAGAGAAAAATGGTGACAATTTTATACTTATAAAAATTGTTGCATTGAGTCCACTGAATAAGATGCATGTCCAATCAGCAACGGTACCATTTCAGAAGCGGTCCCACACGCACACCACTACCCATTTTTTGTGGCCCCTTTTTCCTCTTCAGTTATAAATCCATGTTTTTTCTGGTATATCTTCTAAGAATCTCAGAATTCACAAATAATAACAGTGATAATACATAAATGGTTCAGTTGTGTTTCAAACCATGATCATCCATTATGCTATTATTGGATAGCATCATGGCAATTTTAGGGAAAGAAACAAAAAGAATGAAACAGTGAGTAGCATAACGGCATGATAACATAACCACTCATGAAACATGGTTCATTTCTTCAACCTTCGGCTTCAAGAATAAACCAGGTTGACCCACCATCAAAAAGTTTTATCAACCTAATCAAAACCAAGCTTCAACAGCTAGAGCATAAAATAAAAAAGCATCAAAACCCAAAAATTAAAAAACTCAACTTTTTTATTCGTTTGCAAGACCAATAAACATCAAAATCCAAAAAATCCCCAAAATTCACTTCTTTCATTCTCCTCCCTTCACCACCGCCTATAGTTCCGATTCCCCAAAATGCATACATAACACAAGTTGACAGACAAACATATATATATATATATATATATATATATATATAGATAGATAGATAGATAGATAGATGAGAGAGAGAGAGAGAGAGAGACACTAACTTTTGCTGAGTCATCAATGAAGTAATGTGAGAAGGTAGGGAATCCAAAAGGAGAAGCAGAGTTATAGAGAAACATCCACAACACAGCAAACCCAACAAGGAACATGGTGAATTGCATGACCCTTCTGGCCAAAAGTTGGTTGCCACCTGAATTCCACGCCTTGACACCATCGCCGGCATCCTTCTCCACGGCGGGGTCAGCGGAGGTGACCTTCATTGTTGGCTCAATTAGGGTACCAAAATTGGTCTCTCTGACTTGTATTCCGAAGAAAAAAGATTATTATATATACACAACTCACAGCACTCACTATGGTGTGCCTTAGAACAACCTTGTTTTCTTCACCCACAAAACACCAACATGTTTGTATGTATGTACATGTACGCGTGTATTTACAAAAGTTAAGGATTAAGGATTTTCCAAAGATGTTTTTGCGACAGGTTTAGGAAATCACATGATTGAAAAAGGGTGGAGAAGATGAAGTGTTGGAGAAGGTATTAATATTATCTATGAACTATGAATTATGAATGAAGGGTGCCACAAGAGGGAGAGACCGGTCAAGTTGCAACCAAAACAAACGTATTCATGTTTGTGTTTTCTTATTTATCAATTTACATTACAAAATAACACATGGAATAATATTTAAAAACTATAAAAAAGTACAAAGAATTTATTATTATTATTCGTTTAATAATTAATCGTTTTAATCTTATCGTTTCACACGCTTGTAAAAACTAAAATATTAATTACTAATTACTAATAGTTACTTTTAATTAAAGAAATCCTATTGTAACACGTTTCTTCTAAAGAAACTAAAAAAAACTCTATCTTTTTTACGGAATATTTAATAATTTTACTTTTCATAGTGAAAAGTAAAAGGAATTAAAATTATATATATTTATACAACAATATAAATATTAAAATGAAATACAAATAATATATATAAGGAATAAAAGAATATATTTAAAGTACACTTAGTTAGATATATAAACATAATTAAACTTGTACTATAATATATATATATATATATATATATATATATACACACATATATAAATTATAACTACAGAAGATAAAATTTCACAGATATTAGAGTGCTGTTATTATATTCAAGATAACGTATATTTTAATTTTTTGTATTTTTTTTATTTTAAAAAGTTATTGAGGTCGTTGTTTTTTTAACAGTTAATTAATTAATTTTCAAATCTTGAAACAATATATTTAATTATTTTATTAACTTCATAATAATAAAAGATGATTATTAAATTTAAATATAAAAAAACGAAAATCACATATTTAGATAATTGAATCCTTTTAATGAACTAGTAATAGTAAAAAGTCTTCGTTAAATATTAAAAATAACTAAAATAATATATTTTGAAAACTTAGAAAACTATAAGAACTAAAGATACTTAAAAAAAATTACAAGAACTTATTTATAAAATATAAAAATAATTGATAATTAAGATATCAAATAACGAATAAAATATTAAAAAACTAAAATATTAATAATCATGTAAAATTTAATAAAATTATTAGATTTGATTAAAAAATTGATTCAACTATTTGTTTATAATGATTTTTTCGTTGTTAGAATATAAGATTGTATGTTGGTTACGATAATATAATTGAAACTTTTATTATATTTGATATATTATTTGTTTTGAAATTTTTATTTTGGTTTTATCTTAAAAGGTGTATTGGTAGGTTGAAAAAAAAATTATATATAAATTATTATTTGATTTTAACTTTTAAAAGATTAATTGAATTTATTTTTTTCACTCATCAACACGAAACTCAATTTAATGATTGAGGTTTAAGGAGAAGAGAACTTTTTAAGAAATTATAGGAAGAAGAAACCAGAATTTAATACAATATATAATAATAACTATGTTTGGGTGATACTAAGTTAAATTCTCTTAAATAATAAAGTCTTACATGCACATAAAAACGTTATATTCACACTGAAAAAGATTATTGTTGTGTGGAGAAGTCATTGGTTTTATTTGAGCTTCTTCTTCTGTTTGTTTTGATGCCATTGAAGGAGTTTTCTATTATCAAATTTGCCGTTCTGCACGACTTTTTCTGTTATCAAATTGTTTTGTCCAAACACACCATTGGACACGATACAGTACAATACTCTTCAACTCTTTCTTATTTACACGCATCAAACAATGGTTCATCATAATATATCACTTAAAAATAATTCACCAAAACAATTAATAATAATAAGAATAATATGTGATAATGGTACATTTGGTTAGAAACAAAAAAAAAAATGTAGCCGTAATGTGATTAAATATCCTATTGCTATGCTAGCTGTACATTAAATACAACAAAATGACGTGTTTAAAAGAATGAGAAAAAAAATTAATAATAATAAAAGTTTGGACTCACACGGCAAATATAAACCAATTAATGAACACTTTGTTACTCCTTCGAATGATACTATTTTTTGAGACATTTTCTTCAATAAAGTCCTCTTCTAAAATTAATAATAACCAAAGTTTTTAATAACATAATATTCAACATCACAAATTGTATTAAAAAATATGAACCAGCTTAATCATATTCTACTTGGATCTACCTTGAAGTTTTAATTTTTTTTTTTATGTTCCATATCACATGGCTTGAATGTGATTTATCTTGAAGAGTGGTGAGTGATTGTGACGGAAAACGTGGTTTAGAATTAATCTTTGAAAGTCATAAATGGAAAAGTTTTAGAGATAATGAGGTTCGATTACGTCTTGCATTGATATCTATGAACAATTCACCCAAGAAATAAAATTTCTTGGTCAACTTTTAACAAAAAGAAAATCACGACGTGTTAATATTAAAATATGGTTTAAAAGTAAAACACGCCGCGGAAAAATGTAATCCTCTTTAGTCAACCTCTAATCACAACTTAATCCTGTAATAATCAAATAAATAACTCAGTTTCATTTGTCATCCTTATGACTTTTGTGAAAAATAATTAAAATAACCAATGATAAGAAAAAAAATATTGGGCCCAACTTGCCAAAAAAAAATGCATTTTCAAAATCATTGAGTTACTAATTGTAGTTGCCCAGTCTTTTTTTTTTTTTTTTCTGAGGTGGTACATAATTTTTCATATTTAAATAAACCCACACAACACAACACATGAATAGTATATTCAGTTTATCAATAACCAAGTTCATTTTTTTAAGAATAATCATGAATTTTTTAATATTATTAAGGGAATCTGAGAATCTCTGTATATGTATTGTTGTATAATTATTAATATTTAGACAAAAGAAAAGACAAGACATACAATAACATGATGAATAATTCATGTACAATAGAATTTATGATGTGTTAACTTCACGTGCCATTAATTTCAACTAGCATGGTTGAAATGGAACTTTTATTTGCCATATAAATCATTTACAACAAGATTGAAATGGAATGGTAAAAAGTAAAACGCATAGAAATGAGTTAAAAGTAGAATCACATCATCAACACTTGATTGTGATTCCATGGTTCCATCATTGCTCCCTTTTGAACAATAGATGGTCCAAATTCTTCAAGAAGTAATGAATGACGCATGCAAAAGCAATTATGGAGATCAACCAACGTAATCCAAAGATGCCACCACCATTTTGCTCATAAATACCTGTTCCCTCCCTCACACCTTCACCACTGCAATGCAAATGGAAAGCTCTCAAGGGTCTTAACAAATTTCATTTTCATTCACATCAATCAATATAATCACTCACTTGTCACCATATCAAAACCTCAAGCAAATGTTCATTAACAAATCATCCATGCAGTGTCAGCCTAAAGGTGGTTTATGCTGGTATTCATGCACTGATATAGCCTTATTTGATAAATTTGTTGATTTTTTATAATATATTATCTTAAAAATCATGCCAGAAAGGAATTTTGATGATTGACATGCAAAAAACATTTACATTGATAGATAGTGCATGTCTGATAAACTATTCATACATGTTGCTTGTTTTTTGTTTGATTGATCTGAAAAGCTAGGTTAAAATAAAATATCATCTGAAGTTGTAGTTCACCTTTTAGTTTGACATTTGAGATCTAGTTACATCATTCATTAAATGACTTACTTTGTAGTTGGCTGATCTTTAACTTTTGGTGGTACTGCTGCTGTTAATAGGCCTAGAGGAGCTCCAACTAGGCCATGTCCATCAACTCTTTGAGGCCTGGCTTTTGCTGCTGGTCTTCTGGATGGTGATGGAGCAGAAGGCTTTGATATTTGTGTAGAATCTTGGGGTGTCTCACTAGGAATAGGTACCTTTTTTACCTGCAAAAGTTTACCATAATATTTCAATAATTATTGAATTTGAAGTACAAGGATGGACGAAAATAATAACTAAGTTTGCTGTAAAAAGTTATATTCATATTATCTTCAACTTTTTGATTGGTTTGTACCTATAGAAATTAAAAAGTATGAACTATTGCTCTTGAATTTTATGACAGGAAGAAACATCCCATAGCAAACTTACCAAGTTCCTGAATTGAAGATTATAGAACATGTGGATGTATCTTTCCTTTGCCAACTTTTGCTCCTTGTTCAACCTTCTCCAAAAGCCATAAATTGATCCCATGTTCAAGACCTTGTTTGCATATATCTTCCATGTATAACTGAAAGGAAAACACAAGACTTATATTAACAAATCCTACCTTGAGTGTTGTTAAAAAGCAATACACTTGTTGGTTAAGAATTACCATTCATTGATGCGCTGAAGACCACCTTTTGACATTTTGTTCCAGTGCTCAGAGTCAGTCGTGCACCTTTCAAAGAAGTCAGCAATCTTGTCACTTGACTCATCTCCATTAGAAGGATTAATGTGAAAGCCTGAGACCCCATCAACAATAATTTCTGCTGGTCCTCCTTGATTTGTTGCAAAAGTTGGTAATCCACAGTTCATTGCCTCAATGACTGTTAGACCAAAGGCCTCATACAATGCTGGCTGAACAAAAGCTCCCTTTGTATCTGCAATGCACCGGTACAATTCACCGTTGCGGTAGCGATCAGTTTGAGCTGCAATCCATCTGAACTGTCCCTTGAGATTGTACTCCTTCATCAAGAAATGCATCTTCTTGATTTCCCCAGTTTCTTCTCTGTCTTTGGATTTGGCTGGGTTGAAGAATCCTCCAACAATCACAAGGTTCACCAAGCTTCTGAGCCTCCTGTTTCTTGCATACCACTCAACTAGGCCACTAATGTTCTTCACTTTGTCAAGCCTAGCCATGGAGAATATGATTGGTTTCCTCTTGTTTTCCAAAAATCCTCTGATTCAAATCATATTTTAGTTCGAATTAGGCCATCGCCATGAAATGACACATTTGCATTGCTATAAAATGATGAGGGCAAAGTGGAATGAGACTCACATGTGTTCTTCACTGTCATCATTACTATAAAGTAGTTCTTGAATGGCTGGATGAAATGAGGCCAATCGCTGGTCTTTCTCTGTGTAAGGGAAGTAAACAGATTGATCAGCCCCAGGTGCAGCAATGTTGAACTTTGGATCAAACACATTGATGCCGGAGACTGCGCGAAAAAGTCCAGGCATGGTGAATGCGGTGTGTGTTTCATATTGTCCTGCCTTCTGCTTGCTGATGAAACAAAATAGTGAAATGTTATCCACATGATAATTTTCACCACAGGGTAAATAAATAGTTAGCATATAAGAATGTGTCACTCAAAAGAAAAGGAGGTATACTTTCCAGCAATCTCTTGGTATGTGCTAGTTATAATGAAATCCGCTGCATTCATTGAGATTATGTCAGCTGAGAACTGACATGAGAAGTGGTACTTTTCATCAAACGCCATCCATTTGGCATCTGAGTCCTCATATTTGGTCTTCTCCAAAGCATGAGCAATGGTTGCCTTCATTTGTTATGGATATAACTTTTAGTTCAAAGTGCAGATAATAAAAGAAGGTGGAAAAGCTATAGGAGATTGAATGAACCTGAGTCACTCCAAGTTTAGAAGCCATTAAGGATGACACCAAATTTCCATCAGTGTAATTTCCAATAATGAGGTCAGGCTTGTCTTCCATGATGTCAAGAATCTTAGCAGTAGCATCCTGTTGATGACAGAGACATGAATAAAAAGAGAGAGACAAGAAAGAGCACGTGTTTCATGTTACATTCTTTATTCTTCTCCCTCGTCTCATATATGGAAAATGGGGGATATGATTGTGTACATACCTGAGAAAATCTTTCTAAATAAGGGTAGATATCAAAACGGGAGACCCATTGACGAAGCATTCCCTTCTCCGTATAGAAAGGGACCCTGAGAATGTTGGAGTGCTTAGTGTGCGTGACAGGTTCCAGTTCTTGGTTGCATGTGGTCCCTTTGGCGTCTGGTATAAGACGAGTTACCTGTACATGGAAGATAAGGTCAAAGCCTTTAAAGATAAAGGAAACGGAAGAAAAATTATGAGAATAAGATATGTGATGTCTTTTCTCTTTTTGAAGCATAGTACATATTTTGTATCAGTAGTTAGTATTCAGTGGCCTACCACAAGAATCTGAGGCTTCACATCAAGGCCTTGCAGCTCAATCTTATGGAGTAGCTCCTCCTCTAAGGCCCTCACTTGATCAAGAATATATACCACCTGTTAGAAGACAAAAAAAAAGGCTCAGCCTCATCAAAGTAAAGTATTAAAGTGTAGTGTTACACAATCAGAAAAAAATTGTCATAATTTTGATGAAATTCAGCTAGATTCAAGAGTTTTTGTTACTTGTAGACAAAATAATATGGTGAGGAATACTAATACATGAATGAATCAATGTGCTAAGCATTACGATTGATTCATTTCATTCGAATATTCAGGAGCATAGTTTAGACTATTTTTTCCTAGATCCAACATTGAAGAGGAGGAATTCACACCTGGCCTCCAGTGTCTGGCAATCCTAGGACATCTGCTTGGCCAAAGTATCCATGAATAGAGAGGATAACTATGTTGAACATATTTGGAAGCCTGCTGAAAAGTGATTCCAATTTCACAGGATCTGCTGATTCTAGTACCTCAGAAAGTAACTTCATTGTCTCTTTAACCCTTCCTGCGGTGTTGCCCCATCCTTTATCAAATCCCCATTCCTTGAACCTGCACACAGTAATAGAGATTGACAATTATGGAAATAGTTTTACCTTATTCATACGGTTCCCAAGGCACTGAAGAAGAAAGTAAGAGACAAATAGACAAATAATGCTAATTCATGATTATCTTACAAATATTGTTTGACATAAATCAAATATACCATCCTATGGGTTAAATAAAATTTCAAATGAAGTTAATTGGTACCTTAAATATATCAGATTGAACATTTTAACCTTTTTTTTTTCATTCTTTTTATGTATATTTATTCACTATTTCCAAAAGGGAAGAATAAAGGTAAAGAATTAGATGTTGACCTGTCTTCAAATTTCTGGTATGGTGTGTCTTTGGGGAGTGCAGATACAAAGGCTTCAGCCACTTTCAGCGCTTGCTGAAGCTTTGGCATGGTATTCAAAGTGTCCTTGATCATAAGATTCTGCACATTGACCATAGAAATATGCAGTCACAGTTGTTAAACTCTGTTTTTCCACTACCACAAAATCATTTTCTATTGTCTTTTGATGTGTATATATTTCAATGTTTGATACACAAATGCCTTTGTTTACCTCTCCTTGATAGTTAAGGCTCAATAAGTAATCCAGCAAAGGATTTACGCTTTGAGAGCTCTCACTCAATCTTGAGGTCAAGATCTTGGTAGTAAAGTTTAGTCCATTTCCAATAGAAGAAGAAAGAACCATGCGAGGGGTGGTAAAATCAATAGCTCCAAAGTCTAACTCCAAAACGTTTTCATCACTTGCCCTACATATTCAAACATGTTCAGCATTTGCACTATGCATTGGCACAACATGGCTAGCCAGAAGGGCAATGTGAATAAGCTTCAGAGAGCACCACTTACCATTTCTCATCAAATATCATTTCCTTGTACTTCAAGTATTCTACAGCGTCAATACCTTCTACTTGCAAATCATCAGCATTCACTTTAATATATTCCCAGAAACCAGGATTAGGCCTCACTGCAAAAGCAACATATGGTGGAACAACAGCCGCTTCCTGAACACAATCCAATTTGTTCGATATATTATACTCTTGAACTTGAATCCTATGTTTTTGAGTCTCTCTAAAGAGACAAACTTTTAGCTATGAAATGATATAGTTGTACCTGAGTGCAACTGAAGATGTAACCCAACATGCCATCTAAAAGCTTTTTCCTCTCAACTTTGTCTTCAACTGATTTCTCCACATCCTCCATCACATGATGCTGTTTTAGTAACCTCTTCCCATTTGCAACAAACCTGTTTCACATTCCCTCCCTTGTAAAAACCTTAAGGACAAGAAAGAGCCCAAGTGTAGATCACAAAATATATGAAACCCTTTTGAGTATAACCTATTGACATAAGACCAAAACTAATACAAAGGTACTTTTCGTACATTTTCCAATCATAATTCAAGTTTCACCTCAGAAATCTATGTTGACTTTTAATGCATCCTTTATTAGTTACTGAGGTAAAACTTCAATTCTTATCGAAAACAAGACAGTGTACCTAAGTAACTTAGTCTGAGTTATGTCTGTTGACATATAGTACCTGCCAAAGCATCTCTTCATATGGAATCGGCTTTGCTTCAAGGCATCTGGCATGCTATCTGTGATTGAATCTGATCTCTTCAAGGATGAGGTTGAGGTATTAAAAGAAGCCATTCTGAGGACAATGACAAGTTGTGCTGAATTAAGAAAGGGTAGTTTTGTGCATGGTGTTTTGGAGGGTGTGAAAAGAGTATTTATATAGGATTTGAGTTGTGGTGGAATTGAATAATGAGAAAGAAAGAGTGGAAGCAAGGAAAGAATATATGAAATATCGAGCATGGGGGAGAAAGCAAAATACAGATTGCTGGATTGTGTCATTTAAAAGTGGAGGAAAAGAATGTTTAATGGACATGAAGTTTTTCTGTGAGGTAACACTCTTGTTCTTTTCTTTATTCCATCTCAAGTGCACACGTTGTTCTTCACCACTTTTCTGACTAATATTGCTTGCTAATCATGCAAACTAGATTTAAACCCCAGCACTTATTCTGTTAGATAATAAATCACGAGGAAATTGATTAGTATATTTAACTTTACATCATGAAAGAGAAGGGTCAAATGAAACCATGCATGTCAAACTTTGGTCACTTACATATTAAACTTGGGATTCTTGGAGATGAAGATGAGTTGCATCCACAATCTCATAAGATACTTGCAACATTCCCATACACACTTCTACCATCTTATAATATTATATTCAAGAAAATCATATTTTTTTTAATTTGATAAGTTACTTTTAGAAATATTTATATAATTTTCTAAAGCGTTAACAATGACATGATAGATTTACTATATTAAATATCTACGATAAGAATATGATTATATAATCGATTCGGATAATGTGAATATATGGATCAACGTAGGGATTATTGGACCCCTAAATGAAATAATGATACGTACGTAGTATATCACAGGTCGAGTTACCCATGTTATAAGTATTGATATATCAAAATAAATTTCACTAAATTGATGACCATGGGATTTTGTAATTTAATTTTTAAAAATGATTAGGTAAAATTTACTCGTATCCAGAATAAATTTCTTAATATAAACACCCCTCTATAAGCAAGTTCACGACAATTTGACTAGATAATACAAATAACATATAATGAATTTAACAAGAAAATTAAATCTAATTTTAGTTACCAACAAACTAACGTATTATTTAGTGATCTGATTTAAACTATACTCAGTTATTATAGCGATGATAATAACAATATTACAACAATGATTATATATAATAACATTATCACAGTTGTATTTAAAAACTCTACACCCCTGCCAAAAAAATAATAATACAAATACTTGCCAACACTAGAACAAAACTACTCACAAAATCTAACATCACATTTATACTAAACCATCGTCAAACCATGTTCAGATTCGATAACATTAACAAAACATCATCAAATTTTTTATACTAAAACTCTACATCCACACGACAAAAAGTTCAAACTTCTGAACGGCAATAACAAGGATAAGTAACATACACCCTTAAAACATAGTTTGCATCAAATTAGGTTCCCGATGACTAAGGGTTTGAAATAGCCAGAAACATGCAAAGCCAAACACACGTTATTCTCCATACCCATCAAACTCGGTCCCTACCAAATGACAGCACATTCTGAAGATACTTTCAAAGCACTCCACAAAACAAGGTTGTTTAACAGAACTTTTTAACATTCATATCTTAACAATAAAACATGACCCTCTTCACATTCTCCTTCAGCGCAGGTAGTGGTCTCACAGCAGCATTAGCTCCAGGAGCTCGGGTGCTTCGACCTAGACCACCACCCATCCCACGGCCAGCAACTGCACCACTAGTCATGGACCCACTATCAGACGTCTCCGGTTCCATGTAAAATCTTGCACGGAAAGCAGCCAAATGGGCATAATATGCAGGAGGCACTGCAATTATCAAACAACACAATCAGCTAACCACATAGTAATAATAATAAAGAATCCACTAAACAAATTGAGAGAAAAAAAAAAGAAAAACTCACCAATTGAAACAGATCGTGTGCATCTAGCATATCTAACATAACAAACACATCTAGTTAGTATCTTGTCTAAAATCGGAACAGTGGGAGTTGAAAAGCAATGCAGGTTACTTACGTGTAGCAAAGATTGTTAGTAAGAGTTTGCAAAGCATCTGCGGTAAAATTGTTTTCATCCCATAACACGTGGTAGTGAGCAGGACGGCTTGTACCCTGTAACACATGATTTAAATCAAAGTGAGGATGAAATTGAACATCAAACTATAAGTTGTGAGCAAAGAGAGTAAAAGGTCACACCTGTATCCCAGCATGGCTGCAAAGATAAAAGTCAAACTCGGTTGGATGACAGATCTTGGAATCCACAACTGTGCCTGCAATATTTAGGGGCAGATTTATTTAGCACCGATGAAGTAAAACCAAAGTATGCATGAAAGGGACAATTAAAGTAAATACCAGGCAATATGTTGCCACTCCTGTCAACAGAACTCTTGTCCTGATGACTGCTGGCAAACAGCCTTGTGTGATGACGCTTTTGAACCACAACAAACGTCACAGGAGGCTGATAGTTGGGTTCAAGGGATGCACATGCCTGGTGTCGGAACAAAGGAAAGATGAACAATTTAGCATTAACAATATTGAATTCCTACATGGATGTTGAGCAAGCTATAAACCATTTCACCTTTCGAATAGCATCAAGCTCAAACAGTAAGACTTGGTAAAATTGCCCTTCACTTACACCATCCCTAACAAAATGATATTTAAGAATCATCATTATGTGTAACAGATGAATTGTTAATATGACCGTATGATGGTCACACGACAAACAATTTAAGGGGAAAAAACAAAAAAACTACCTGTAAAATATAATACGCTGTGGCTTCTGTCCCGTAGCCCTCCTAAAAGATATAAGAAGTTCTCTGCCAAAACATAAGAGAAAATAAGAAAATCAAGATTAATATTTATCAACTAACAAAAAAGCTAGAACCCCCAATGTGCATTAACCAGCTCACATATGAGAGAAGGGAAGGAGAGTACTTGATCATTCCACCAGTCACTGTTCCTCTGACTGGATCTTGCCATTGTTTGAAAAGATCCTGAATGAGTTCCTGTCTATGAGCTTGGGCACAGACTAAACCAGCATACTTCGTAATTTCAGGATAATCTTGAGAGGCCACAACCTACAGTTTTAACACACCATTATTTAAATACAGATAAAGAAAAATATCCTTTAGCTTGAGTGCTTTGAACCAAAATGCATACAGCTGCTATTGACGGGCTTGAATCCTCTCCAGGATGTGGATGAGTCACATCAGCTCCAAAAATAATAGTGGGTCTGTCACCAACTAAGGGAATGCGTCGCGACAGCGCATCAACAAGTACAGTGTTTCTCCCTCCCACTTTGACATTAATTTTCAAAGCAACATTTGCAAGGTACTGCTTACTCATTTTAAACACATGCTTAGTCAAACAACATTGTGAAACTAGTCCAAGATCTGTCTCACATATTCGTTTGAGGTCACCTATCAAATCAATACATAAGATAATTTCACAAGTCTGATCAGTACAAAATAAAAACAAGTTACAAAGATCAGTCAATGAATCAACCATAAAGTGATCCATTATTGTCAGGCAAAATAACAATGAGCAGATCAAGCTCCCTTCCGTGAAGCTTATTCTTAGCATCGTGATACCGGGTTTTTAGAACTTTCTCCACTTGATCAGGGCGAGAACTGATTGGGGGTACAACTGGCTCAGGATTAAATGCCTGGTCATGTGTAACAAAATGAGTCAAATAATCAGGTGAACTGCATGCAAAACAAGTTTGAGTAAAGGGAATATATATATACCATGCCAGATATATAACACATCTGTGCGAGTTCATAGCAAAAGCCCCGGGCAACACTATCTTGAACATTCCTTGAAAAATTTATGCAGAACCAGTGGTTAACTGTACCCCCATTTACCATTTTCTGAAAAAGGGAAAATTATTATTTCATCAAAAAGAAATAAACAATCTGATTGAAAAAATTAAGCAAATATTTTACATCCCTCATAATGTCATTCAAATAACAAAACTACATGACAGTGCATGCACATGAAGCATTTGATTGGAATTTTACTCGAACAAAAAAACTAATTAATCTGATACAGCTCTGACGTATACATCTTTTTAAAATGTTCAGGAAAAAAAAACAACACAAACACACAACATCTTATATCTTGTAAACAGCCACCAAACAAGTACCTTGTTCATCATATTCCATTGCCCAACTTGAGGAAGACAATCTTTTTCTCTGCCTGTATCATGATACTTGAGCTGAAGGAAACATAAAGTCAATGGTTAGTTAGAAAAAACAATACAGTAGTTTCTAAACGTAACTAAGTTGATCTCTGATAAAAAATAAATAAAAAAATACCCAGGGTGCAGGAAGGATGCGTGCTTCAACTTGAGCAAGCTTCTCACTAATTTTGATTCCGAACTCTTTGGCATAAGGATCTTCGTGGTATGCATTGTGATGCACAGTCTATATGGTGCAGACACAAATTACACCAGGAAAAAAAAACTAATACAAACAAGTATGGAACTATAAACTTATCAGTCTAGACAATAATTGCCACATGTTCAGAATTTAAACATAATACTCTACACAGTCCCAGAAACAAAACATCAATTACTTGCATCCTAGTTTAAGAAAAATAAACAATAGAATCCCAAGCCAAAGTCATCCTCACCTGCATGATATCACGCTCCCTCTCAATAGGACGCTGGCATGTAACTTTCAGAAGAGCAGTAATCTGTCTCTCATTCAACCTTTTTGAATATCTTTGACCTTCCACAATCTTGCAAACCTACAATTCCAGAGAAGTTATTAGCTAAAGCAGGCACGACCACCAAAAATAGACAAACTAATGACATGAGTGAGCTTACCTCCATTGGCAGATAGTTAGGTCTCTGTGTATTCCCAACTTGTAGACAAGGCCATTGAGTATGTTGAATGACAAACCCATATGTCTCATAGAAGTACTCCACAACAGATTTCATAGTTCCCCTTTCATCTACCGGGAATCTAAAATAGAGAACTCATAATAAAGTCAACAGATCTCATAATATGTCATTAA